TGTAAAGTGAAAGATCTCAAGCTTCCTTTTCTCCTTTGTCAGCTGCTCAATTTTAAATTGTGAAATTAGTATATTTAATTAATTTGCACTTGTAATTAAATTGTTAAAATTAATAATTTAACATGTTGTAACTGAGTCATGATCAATGTTGTTAGAATCGGACCGGTTCGACCGTGACCCAATAATAAAGCGGTCCAGTTTAACATCTAAAACCGAAAAAATCGAAACCGGGGTCAAATGATCAAACTCCGGTTCGATCGGGTAAAACCCGAAAACCGATGAGTTAGCCAAGGAACCCGGTTTTCGGCTAAAACGTCTCGAATCACCGTTGAGTTGGTTATTTGTGGCTAGATTTGAGCAAACATTCACTGATTTAGTAGTGGATGGCCGGATCTAGTCATGAGTGGTCGAAGGATTGTGTGGATATAATCATGGGTGATAAAAATACGGGCGGCCAATTGCCGGATTTGAAGAATAAAAAATGGAGAATTGTAGAGTATAAACATAGAAAAAAAAAATTTCAAAACATTAAAATTAATAAAATAATGACATATTACAAAAAATCAAAAACCCAGTTGGACCGGTTTAACCCTATAAACCCATGACTCAAACGGTCGTCCGGTTCTATAGCCGGGTCCGATTCTGAAAACATTGATTATGATTATGAGAAATTATTATTTAAATAAAATTATTAATTTATTGATGTTCTATTTTATAGAGTATGTAATATGTATCGTTATTGAAAGATCATAATTATGCTCGTAATTTTTATTTATTTTTAATAAATATTTGTAATTGAGCTGGATTGAGGTAAAACTGATACGGTTCTTTATAGATTTCTATATATAAATAACTAATTTGAATTATATATCTTTTTTAATAAATATTTGTAACTGAGCTGGATTGAAGTAAAACTGGTATGGTTCTTTATAGGTTTCTATATATAGAAAAGTAATTTGAATTATACAGTAGAGTCTTGATAAATTAATAATCTCGATAAATTAATAATTTCACATAAATAATAGTTTATTCTGATCTCGTCTTGATAAAAATGTACTAAATTATTAGTTCGATAATTTATTATTTTGCTAAATTAATAGAATTTTGTCAGTCATAAATATATTAATTTATAGAGATTTAACCGTAGTTGTAGCCGATGAAAATAGAAAAATAATTGGTAATTGGGCCACCCATTAACAATCTGAGTTTGCCCCCATTTCTCTAATTGTAATTATTAATTCCTAACCCCCTTAATTTAAAGCCCAATACTCTGAAAAGCCATTTGTTTCAATAAGCCCAATTGAAACTCCCAAACGACGTCGTTTTTCTCTTCCCCAAAGGTACGAATACGATCTTCGGAACACCGGCTGCCCTTCCTCCCGAAGCTTCGGTGTTGCTTCTTTTTTCTCTATTTTAATTTGTGATTACTTTCAGTATTGATCAACAATTTGCCATTCGGAGCGCCTTTTTCGCGGCGGAGCTTGCTTATTTAGGTTATAATTTATTGCTGTTTGAATATGTACTTGCAATTTTATTTCTCTTATTATTTTTACTATGAGTAGTATGAAGATAATTCATGATGCTTTTTTTTTTGTTCATGTTATCGATTTAGGGCATGTATTACTAATCATTCTGCATTGGGTGCCAATTTTTTCAAGCTATTATTGCTTTGTGAGATTAGGTTTTGATGTTATCTATAAGCAAGGATGAATGCTGTAAGTTTTTGAAAAAAAAAATGTTTTTTTTTCTGCTTCATCAGTTTATATATGCCTACAATGCTGCCGGGTCACGAAGATGGTGGAGAGGAACTCAACGTTTCGATTCCGCTCGGTGGTCCGATTTACGTCCCCGACAGTGTAGGTCCACTCACGAGAGTCCCGGACTTCGAAACTTCCGTTTTTCAAGAACTTCAGGTAACTCAGCTGGATGTTTTTACATGTTAGATGCTATCAAAAAATTTACGTGGTTTTTTTGTAATTTGAAACTATGTCCCTTCATGCAGAGTTTGAAAGAAGAGCTCTATGGTGACTCTACGGAAATTTGTGATGAAGAAATATCGTGAGCATTCGTTTATCTCCACACCCTTTTGTCTTCATGAGAATATCGAAACTAAAGGGTTTAAATTCGGTTGATTATGCTACTTTTATGTTTGTTAACTGTAGCACTTCAATGAAATATCTCGTTATCACTAACTTTATGTGATGGTTGGAGAAGCCGAGTGAATACACCATGATAGATCCCATCACGACGAATGTGTGTGCTTGTTTTTTCGTTTTGGACATGTCCCATGTATGCTGGACATTCTGTTGGCTTTTTTCAGGGTTCTTTATAAATCAATCACTTGCATTTATTTTTTCTTTTTATTTATATAAGAGATTCCATATCCCGTCTTTTTTGTTTTCTTTCTTCTAGGCAATTTGGTTTACTATTTATTACTGTGTATTATTAATTACTGCATTCCATCTTATATACCTTCTGCATTTGTGAATTAATAGGGTTGATGAACTCAAAATAATCGGGGAGGATGAGTTAGTTAGTAAAGCATTTGAAGAAGCTTTCAAGGTAACTGCTCTTAGTTCATTTGAAATGCCCAGTGTTAACTTTTCCTTAGAATAACTGAAACATTTTTTTATGGTGGCGAACAGGATGATGAGTTGGCTATAGATGCTTCACAAGTCAAAAACGAGCATTTGAACCCAGGTTAGGTAACCCAAAGTTGTAATGCACATTCTCTTTTGGATAGTTGTTATTTGGTTCACTTCCTTTTATTGTATTCCTTTACGATCCAAGTAATATATTTTCGGAAACTAACTGGAGAATGATGTTTTGCTTCAATTTTTCTCAATTTTCTACGTTTCGATCAGGGCTATTAGTTTCGAATATATAGAAATATAAACATAGAGCAAATTATTCTGGTCTGGTGTTTGGGATTTCTAACGGCACCACGTAACCTGCTAAGGTGATCGGGAGCATTTAACTAAGTACATTTGAGTTTGGTTTTTGTGGGTCTACTTCATGGCAGGCATATCATATGATTTTTGTGTCAGTGGATGTTATTTTTGGTGAAGGGGAGTCGTTTCTGGTGGTTTTCAAATATTAGCATTTTAATTGTTTTGAACCGAACTACTTTATTATTAATTAGTGGATGATGGTCTTGTCACTTTCTCTTTGATACATTGTGGAGTTTCAGATGCACCTGGTCTCTTATATGATTTTTTTCAGGATAACAGATGATAACGATGCATCTGTCCCTCACCATGGTTGTCCGCAAAATTCAGAAGCGGATACGATGGCAATAGTATCAAGTGAATCCTCAACTGCCTTGCCTCTTAAAGTCCGTGGCCAGAAATCAAACAAAAATCCTCCGGGGAAGGGGCAAAAGAGGAAGCATGGCAGTAAAAATATCGACTCTTTTAATGTGCGAATGCATGACTTAGACATTAGTCTTTTTCTTTCTGTAATAATGTCTGACGTGTTCTTTTTTTTCCCAGGAAAGCTATATAGCAAAGGTGGAAGAACTAGCTAAAATTAAACTAAAACAAGAAGAAGATAAAGCAACCGTGAGATTGCATTCGTTTGAGTAAGCATCCGGATTTTGTGCACTAGTTTTCATCTACATATTATGTTACTGTACATTCACATCTTGCCTTCTCTTTCTTTTATATTTTACTAGTTCCAGGTTCACAAAAGCTGAAAAGATAAAATCTCTGAAATCGTCCAGTGTTTCGACAAAGGTTTGTCATCGTCCTCTTCCCGATTCCCCCCTCTGCTCTTATTTGACTCCATCCATATGGGGACAACTTTAGAAACCAGTTCGTGAAGTTGCTTGCTAATCAGACTTGTGTAATGATCTTGACTGTTTGTTTATAGATTTCATGTTACAATTCAGTGTACTATTCAGCTTATTTCTATACTTACAGGATTTAATGATAAAATATGAGAAGGCGGTCAGGCTCTAGACACATGCTGTAACCTTTCAGGATTGACAAAAGTAATTAAGGAAATTGTTGTTTGTTTAGAGAAATCATGCGATCTTGATATTGAAATGTCTAATCGTGTGATCTTGATATTGAATTGTGGCTTGCTTTTGAAATGCATTGGCAGGTGAGAGCCGCAAGTACGTCCAGTAATTTGCCATTGCATTTTCCCGAAACTGTCCTATGTTGTGAAGTTTACCATAACAGGAAAACGTGGTTGAAGGTATTTTCTTAACGACAAGGAACATTTTTCCGTTTATGGTCCTAATCAGTTCTTTCCTGCTCAAACTTTTCTGTCCAGTGTTCTTCCGTTCTCTTCGCTTTTCTTGTCAAATATATTTTTTCTTCTGTAAATATTCACAAAATATATGTTCGATTGTAGATCAGATAGATACGGCATACAATACTTGTTCTGTTTGATAACTTACCCACTATTTTATTGACACGATTTCTCAAAAACATTTGTAGACTCAAGAATTCCTGGTTCTAGGACGACAATTCTTGACTGAAGTACGAGACAAAATATATTGCTTGACCGACGAGATAATGAAGAAGGCGGGGCAGCATGATCCTTCTGGATACTTCTTGATAGAAGTAAGTTTTCTGATTCACTAAGAAATCTATTCTGTTTGATCGGAAAAAATAAAAGAAAAAAGAAAAAAATCTATTTTGTCTTCTCTCCTACATGTAAAGCTGCTTCTGACTCTTATAGAACAGGATGTTTTTTGTAATGACATGAGGGAGGCCTCTGCAACAGACTACAGTAAGCCCATACTCGATTGGCTAAAAGACTCGAAGAACGAAGCACTTGAAAAGTGGGAGATCATTGTTTCTGGTGAATTGCAACAGAAGCAAAAGGCACTTTTGGGGGGTGAAACTAAACAAAGCTTACCCAGTTTGAAATCTCTTCACATGCAGACTACAAGATTTTGTGATGTCAGATTCCGACTCGGTGCTGGATATCTTTACTGTCACCAGGTATATTTTTCCGTTTGCTCATTCTTCTATTTTTCGTTTTTGGGCTCTCAATACAGTAAGGTCTCGTTTTATAAGCCATATATTACCAATCAAAGCTATCTAGTATCTACTATAATTATCCGTTTTAAATTACAAGTGGAATGACAATATACCCTTTACATGGTAGCACTTATTATAATGCATGGAGTCATGGATAGATTTGAAAAAATAGAACTGAATCACAACTTGTAATACATGAGTACATATCGAAATCATATCCTATCTAATCATGTCATCCTTATCGAAAGAATCGTAAATCTTCAAGAATCTCAAACAGCACTGTTGAAAATTGCAGTAGCGAATGCTTATTTTACGGGCTGACATCTAAGCGAGTCTCTTAGGATACTTTTTTTCTTACTTGGTTTGTATTACTTGCCATAGCTTTTTGCTCTCTATTTTCCCCTCACGAGTTGCGAGTATATAATGCACACACGTTTAATCATTGTTGTTTCATTAGGGGGACTGCAAACATGTAATCGTAATACGTGATATGCGACTGATTCATCCAGAGGACATACAAAGCCGAGACGCTTACCCGTTAATCACCTACCAAGCAAAGTTCCTCCATAAGAAATGTTCTGTTTGCAAAATCTACAAGGCAGAGAAGATGACGGTGGACGACAAGTGGGCCCCGTCGAATCCATGTTATTTCTGCGAAGTCTGTTATTATATGCTGCACTACGCAGACGGTTCTCTTCTCTACAATGATTTCGATGTCTACGATTATCACCATGGTTAGCACATACGAAGATTTGCGAAACTTGAAATTTATAACGGTCATTTACAATACATGCATTCGCTATATATATATATATATATATATATATATATATATATATATATATATATATATATATATATATATATAGCCTATAGTCTATAGCCATGCAAATGCTTAGCCCATCTTCTAGCCAAGAAGGGATCATGGTACTCCAAATTTCCAGCATTGCTAATTCTTGTCTCCATAGGGACAACAATATCTTCACTGTCATCTTTTTCCTCCATCCTCAGAACTACTTCACCTGTTGTAATGCACTCACCATCTCCACTATCTCTATAGCTATATTTTACGTATACGCATCCCCGTTGACCAATACATAACGGAATATTCCTCTCCTCGCCGCCTCTCAGTTCTCCGATCCTCACAATCATCGTGCCTTCTCCGATAATAAGTTGAACATCTTCCACTCCTCCGCCTAGCACTCTCGAAAGAAACTCCTCGAATTCGTGCACGACGAATCCCAATCCTAGATGGAACCGTTGGATTGTGACCGGAGCTTCCGAGTCGAACCAACGGTGAGATCTCGACGGAGCGTCCGTTAGATGCAGGATGGACGACCGTGGGTTTGTGTGGGCCCGTTCCTCGAGTATCTTCACTCCCTTTTTTAGACCTTCGATTGGATCGGCTTGCCCAATGTAGATGACGCGGTCGATCAGTTGCAGCGCGGTTCTTTTACCGTACGAAGTCATCCGCCTAAGGGGGAAGACTCGCACGGCCGATGTCGACGAGTAGGTCACGATGGCTAAGCGGTCAACGGGCTTGAGCGAGAAGACCACTATAGCCATTGCTTGCTTCACGAGCCTCAAGTGGGGCCCGTTCGAGCTCGCGACTAGGACCAAGTCTATCGCGGGCCCGTGCGTTAATCTCACATGAAGACAAGCTTGGTTATTCGGCGATCCTTCTTCCATTGTTGAATATGAACTAGAAGCTTGATGATGTGGCCAAGAGTTGAAGTTAGGGTACGCGAGGGAGAGAGTGAGGCGGGGGCCGTCACTAGCGGTGGGGTCGGGCTCGATCGGGTCGTCGGAGTGGAGAAAGGAGCGGCGGTGGACACGGAGATTGGCGATGGAGTCGTCGAGGATTCGCAGAGTGGGGTCCGCCATCTTGTTGTGGAGGGAGCACCGCGCGTGAGGGTTGAGGGGCAGTTTTGTCCAATGAGCACGGCAAATGGGGCAGGTGACGCTGCCGTGTCGAACATTGGAAGAGATGCAAGCGAAATGGAACGAGTGGGAGCATTGGGCGGTGAACACGGCTTCGCCGCCCGAGTTGTAGTTTAGCGGATCGAGGCATATTGTGCACAAGTTCTGCAAAAGATATTCATTCATTCAAGAATTGCACATTGAACTTTGATTTTATTGCATCTACTTATAAAAATGGCAGAAAGATTGGATAGAGAGAGATACCTTGTTAGAAGAAGGGGTGGTGGTTGAACTGCATTGCCCAGCAATTTCCGGCGAGATCTTTTTGGAATAAATGTTTCTCTTTTGATTTTCAGACGGAGAAGAATAATTGGCTGAATTATTAGATGCCTTATTACCAAAACAATAAATAAATAAAAAATCAATTTCACAAAATAGATCGAAATGAGAGAGAGAGAGAGAGAGAGGAGTTACAGGGGTGGGAGCGGAGTTATCGAGAACTGGGGATTGTTGTTGTTGAGTCTCGCAGAGAGAGCCACATGTCTGTAGAAAGAAATTCCTAGCGGCTTTCTTGAGTTTGGACGACGCGCCGCCACCTCCTCCGCCCATCGCCACCGCCCGTCTATCTATAACTGTTTTGTGTGTGTGTGTGTGTGTCAGAAACAAAACCGGCAAATGTAACTGGTGCCTGCCTGAACCGGCTTCTCACTCAGATGGACTGCAGCTGAAGGGGAGACAAAAATGCTTATTTACAGTATCATCTGAAAATTATTCTCTCTCTCTCTCACACACACAAACACACACTTTCTCTCTCTCACACACACACAAACGCACACACTTTCTCTCTCATGGTTTCTTTCCTCTAACCATTTTTCGTGGGTCTACTACAACTGCTAAGAGACAACAATATTTATACGCAGCCCCATTTATTTAAGGGGAAAAAAATTATTACAACACACACTCACACTTTAATCACATCCCATAAATACACAATCCAATTATATATATATATATATATATATATATATATATATATATATATATATATATATATATATATATACTATCATGACACGTTGTCTATCAAATAATATTTAAATTGCTCTCCTTCAATCAAATTAGAATCCAATGAGATATTATCATTTTTCTATTAGTACATTATGAAATCTGCAGATGTAAACAGTACTAGGCTAATTAATGTGTGAGAACAAAATCTACCGACCGTTATTAAGATGATTCGAATTTGGATCGAGTAATATCACTTCACCTGCTCCAACCGTTAAAGTCATTTTTAATTTGTTCCATTTTTCATGACAAAAAAAAGAAATTTTGAATTTGTGAGATAAAGGGGAACAAAAAAAAAAAAGATAAATGGACCCTTTAATTTAAGTGAGATTTAAATTTGAAAAATTGGCAGTGAACTTTTGCCAATTTCTAGTTATCAATAAATCCTAATGATTGGTTCATGCATGGTCCAATTTCCGACTTTAAAAAGTCATGTGCAGCTTCTTGACCACAAAAGCACAAATTGAAAATATAAATATACTATATAGTATACATATACTATACATATATTTTGAAATATTTTTATTTGAAATTAGACTTCTCCATAACTTTATTTTAGTACTCAATGATGTATGATATTATTATCTTGTTTTCGTGATGTGAGTTACCCTGACTCATCGTTATTTTGATGAAATAAAATAAAAACGGTCACGCTCGCAGAGAACACGCAACAATTCTTGATTTCTTGTTGAGTTCATAAATTTGAGTAATTAAATAGTTATGAAGGACTAATGGGAAAGATAACCCTATAACCCTACAAAACAAACCATAAGAAACTTCTCTAACTTTTCAATTATGTCGAAACCATTTGAACTCTTTAATCCATCTTGGCTAAAGTTGGGCAATGGACTGTGTTTTAAAGCTTTATTCTTGACAGAATTTTAAGACTTTATTTATTTATTTTTATTTATTTATTTAATGGTAGGGGAATAATTCCTTTTACTTTATCTCTATCTTTGCAGTACTCCCATTTCAATTATGCCCTCAAAAGAATAAAAAGATTAAAAGACATTAGTTGCTAGCTAGCATAGAAAAAGAGTACTACTTACAAAGAATATGTTTTTAAGATTGATTTACATACATTAAAAAGAAAAAAAATGTTAAATTTGACCAAGTCAAATCATGTTCAAAAAACCATTAAATAGTAATCTATAGAGTTAATTTGTGCGACAAACGATAATTTATTAGACATAAGAGTTCAATACCTATTACACGTGAGATTGAATTTTAAATATGGGTAAAATACAATTTACTCCTTATAATATACCATATGTTAGAAGTAAACTAACAGCTGCTCGTTCAATATCTTTTAAAGTTAAGTTTGGATTATAACTGAGACTCAATACATACCGGGATTTATCGAGCACGTAAGTTCGATTCGAAAAGGTTATCAATTCAGGTGGCAGTGTCCTAGTTTCTACAACAAGCTATCCTCATTCTGTACATAAAAAATCATAGTTTTGCGTCAAAATATTGAAATTTGGAATATTAACTTATCGACACTTACTAGGGGAAAAACATGGCCAAAACGACACTTATTTTCAAACGAAGGGTGTACATCATTAAGGGGTTTTAGACGAAGGGAGTACATAATTAAGGGGTTTCTTTAGCAATTCAATATAACACATGGTACTAAATGAAATAAACTCCAGAAATCAAATTTACCGGCGCCGTCGTTGCCTCCGCCTCAGAATAGTACCAAAATTGACTCTGTCTACACCGTCGCGGACATGGCTACATTCTCGGAGATTAATGAGAACCCTACCGTGGTTTTCGCTCCACAAGGTGAGAGATATTTACCCCATTTTACTCACAAATTGAAGTAAATTAAGCGGTAGTTACAGTGTTTGGGTTTCCTTTTCGTTCTTTTTAATTTTGCAAAATGTTTGTTGTTAGAGATTTCTCTCTGTAAATTCCCTGGTTTTGTAAGTATGCTATAGTTACAGTGATTCTGAATTATGTTGTATCCTAGTTCATTAACTCTACAAAATATTGATTATTAATTAAAATCCATTGTTTTCGATCTCTTTTGTACAGGCCGAGGAGGCTATAGTTGCTTTGCTGAAGGAGCTCTTGGAATTTTGAGGTCTGAACACTGATCTTGGCATCTTGCCTTTAATACATACTTGCTTTTGATGTAATTGTTGGCAACTGATTTGATTTTTAATGTAATTGTTGCCTGAACATATGTTACTTGTTTCTTGCTGAAATAGTAGTAATATGTTTGTCATATGTATAGTCTAGATGCAAATTTTGCTAGGGTTAAGAGACTACTTAGATACGGATTATTTTTACTGAAATACTAGTAAAATTGTTTGACAAATCTTGTATAATGCTAAGATTGCTAGGTAAGACTACACAAGGTTTGCATCTCATATTTTTTTAGACAGTTGGCACAAATCATTGTTGTTTTGAGTTCCTATCTTATTGTGCGTGTATCTTTGTTGAGCAATGTTCTTCTGTTACAAATGAGGTTGCATCGGCAATTTTTTTTTAATTTTCTTATGCCAGATATGCCTTTTGCATGCATCATTAGGAAGGTGATGTCAAGGATCTTTCTTTGGATTTTGACATTTACTGAAGAAGAATCACTTAGAAAACATGTAAAATTCATAAACTTAGGCCTTGTTTGGTTGCCAACATAAGATTATATAATCTAATGAAAACCCAATTGTATTACGGGCCATGAAAGAAGGTCCAGTAAATAATCTCCCTAAAAGCCAATATAAGCCAAGATAAAATAATATTTCCGGGTCGACTCGGAAAATTATTGGGTTTGCCAAACATCAAGCAAAGTCTAATTGTTAAGTTAATCATGACTAATCTCCCCAACCAAACGAGGCCTTAAGGATACACTTTCCTCTTCTTCTTTTCCTCTTTCTGTTTGGTTCCTACTTATCTTTAATTAGTGGAACAAATCTTTCAATTTGGTTGCCCATTCTTTACATATGTCTATATATATATATATATATATATATATTTGTTTATTCTTTTTTTTTTTTTTAAATTTAAATTTCAACATATGGCTGAGAATGATATATTAATATTACAGGAAATAATATCAGCAGTATGCCTAAAGACAGTGAGCTTATAAAGCAATACGCAGTGAGGCTTGTCGAAAGTACGAGATGTGAGTAAAATAATCCGAAAATCAATTTTCTTGATTATTCTGAATCCCGTATATATACTTACTTATATCTGGTATATCTATCTGTTTACAGTTTAGTAGAGTTCGAAAAACAGCTTATACCGCTCTTTGGAAAACGTGAAAACTGATATACAGATGTGGTATCTCCTTCTTGGTTGAAGGTATTTAATTCAAGTGAATTTAATCAGGTATTTTTATTTGGTGCATTTTTCTCGTTATTCATTTTTCTTGTCTGCATTTATTTATCTATTATGGGCTTTAAGTGTGTTCACTTGTATATACTTTCTAGAAATTTGTGGCCAGAGTTCACTACATATAATTCGTGGGAGGACTTCCTCTTATTCGGGTACATACACTAGTAAATATGGGCTAATTATTGCAATTTTCTTCAAGTTATACAATTAAATTTTTGTTAGTCACTTATATGAATTGTAGCTCAGTCTTAACAGCCAGAGGAAAATTACCAGACTAACCCCAAGGATATGTCATTTTGAGGTGCTAACTTAGAAACATGTATTCACTAGTCATTACAAATATCGATCTTCTGTACAAGATTTCCATTTTGTGAATAATTTTGTCGCTTCGTTTGACAATAATACTCGTCTTGTTGGAAATCTGTACACTAAAATTCAAGTATTTTGTCCTTGTGATATGGCAATTACTTTTATATTATACATAATTCTAGTTCGTCAGCACTCCCATATGATGGTCGTCAATATTTTTTTTTTGCAGTTACTTTCAATTGGGGATCATGACATTGATGTTGATGATTTCTTGTATCCCCCTCTTGTTGAAGTTCTTACAGTTATTGTTCGTTTGTTTGCGCTCTAAGAAATAGGAGATATTCTCTACAAATTGGAATCTTAATCTCTAGAACCATCCACTTCTGGAGCTCTAGTCTAGTGTGTTTGAACGTTGATGACGATGTTTTACTTGATTTTTCATGAATATTTAATGAATATTTAACTTGGGATCTTTTATTGGGTTTCTTTTTATTTTATTTTTATAAATATAATATCAATGCGACTCTATTTTACATCAGTATTTTATCTGAGTTTTGAGGAAATTGCATGTCATATTATACATAGGAGTAAATTTTGAATGCAAAATGGAGAAAAACTTTATGCTTATCCTATGAGTTTGAGCTGACTTATGAACTTACAATCAATGTAGGGGTTTTGTGATGTTCCTCTTTGGGCTTCCATCAGCTTCTACATGTTATAATACATTGAAGGTAATATTCGGAAGGCCATACACTAGTCCATTCTTATCGTCATATAATTTTCTTATGACCTAGCTCTGTTTTCATGGATTTGATTGTACATATAATGTGTTGTCATCTAACTAATATTTGGTCCCATGTAATTGATACAGCTTCCAACACATAAACGTGCCGGCACTTTGACGGCAAAACTTCTATATGCCATTAATGCCGGATTCGAACCTTCTTATTAGTTTGTCACTCAACGAACAGGTATGGCAACTTTGTTTAACGTTGAATTGTTTTGTCGTCTCTGAGTCAGTTCTCCAGTTTATCACCTAATATCGATGAGAAAATTATGTTTATGTATGAATACAGTTTAGGATAACGTGTATAAATGTCTAACAGAGACTTGAATATGCTTTGAGCTGACAAATTTGTCATATTCTTATGCAGAAGTTGAAAGGGAGCATAACGTGCATCTGTGGAATGTACTGTGGAATAAAGTATTGGTGGCTCGTGATTATGCAATAGGTGCATCTCCTGTTTTATTTGCTCCCGGATTGTATATACACATTCCTGAAAGAAACTCTGTAAATAATAAAACGGACTTTTGTTGTATATGCAATATGCTGAAAGAAACTCTGTAAAGGGATCGAACGGACTTTTGTTGTGTAAACGGACTTTTATCTTTTAATTGTAAGCATTGTGTGTTTGTATGACTAATGTAATTTGTGTATTAGCTGCAATGTTCAGTGAATTCACGTAATTGCTTAATATTGTGATTGGGCCTCGATTAATTGTGATTGGGCCTGGAAAAGTTATAGAATACGCATGATGTTTGGGCCTCCTCGAATGGATTTTTTTGTCATGTTGAACCACTATTGAACAACAAATGGGCCTGGAGTGGCATGCATTGAGCCTGTCAATTCTGAAATGGGCCCAAAGCTTATGTTGTGCTGATTAAATTGTAAAGTGGGCCTGTAGAGGGGTACATTTTTTCTACATTTAATTGTGGATTTGTTGAGGGCCTAACTTAATTTAGAATGGCCCTTTAGTTTGCTGTATTGGGGCCTGCAATAATTGGGTATGGGTTATGAGTTTAATTTATCCTTTTATTAATTCTAAATGGGCCTGGATTAGAAATATTTTATGCATAGATGTGACAACTTTATGGGCCGAACTTAATTCTTAAATAGGCCCTGGTGGGCTTAGAATTGAATGATGGGCCTACTGTAGATTGGGCCTATTTCGCAACTTCTTTAAGCTTGAACTAATAAGTTCTAATGCACTTTTTCTTTTTCTTATTTTCTTTTACTGGTTTTCCAATTCATATTTTCATAACCATGATTATTTTGCTTGGATGCCCCAAAAACTCACAGCAGCAGGTGTCTCCGCAAAAAATGAAACAGCAAAGCAGCTCGTTTCTTACGTATGAGATTTTCCACCCATCTGCAATTCATCCATATCAAATGTTACCATAAATCAAGTACAAAATTATGACAACAGAATACTGTATACTAATACATGCAAAGAAAGTGGTATTGCATCTTTTAATGATTTAGAGTCCAAAATTTAGTTTTAGTTGGATGGGAATACAATACAAAATTCAAAAAGAGTTGATAATAATAAGATTAGCCAGCTGTACTTCAGAATTCAAAACTTATATTCTGCTGTAAAACATCACTTGAATAGCACGGCTTGAGGCCAGCCAATCAGAGACGGATTACACGTTGTATCATGATCTGTACGTGTGTTATGCACATTCACAAAATCAACAATTCACATAAATTCTAGAGACTTATAAGAAAGTGCATCAACTCATAATCCAATTCGGCAACAACTTGACAAGCATTGTCCAAATGTTATTAACATTAATTTTAGTATGCGTTTATTATGATGTGCTTTGTTGCAGCTTTGGTTGAACAAGTGACCAAACCATTCACAGTTACGAATATGACTCTAAAATGATGAACTAACAAACAATGGTTCAGACGAATATGACTCATAATGAGATGATCTCTCTTCATGGATCCTAAATGAGGTGATACATATCAAAATGAGAACTATTAAAAAAATTATTTCATTTTCATCCTACCTAATAAATGAAACCGTGTATGTTTAATGTCGATGATATCAGTGTCACATCAATTTTGCCAATGCATACGTAATAAATCAGTTAACGAGTTTCAGAACATGCATTTAACTGATCTTCCAAATTAATTGCCATCCTAGATCAACATTTGTTTGCAGCAAAAATAATATTAACTAACCTTTCACAATCTGACTCCTCTAAATGGCAATATGTTTTCAATCCGTTGTTTAGAAAGGATCACCAGCACAACTGACTACCACCAGAAAAATCACGACCTGCCGCAGCAGCAGCAGCAGGTCTCTCTGGGAAAATGAAACGGCAAAACAGCTCGTCTATAATGTTTGATCTTCCACCCATCTGAAATGGATCCATAAGAAAGTAAGCATAAATATAGTATAGAATAATGACAAACTTCATAAATAATGACAGAATATATCAATACATACAAAGAAAATGGTATTATATCTTTACGCTTTAGAGTCCAAGATTTAGTTTTAGTTTAATGGGAATACAAAATTCAGAAAGAGTTGATAATAATAAGTGAAATGGTTGCTTCCTAATTTAGAACTTATATTCTGCTGCAAGACGTCACATGAATAGCATGGCATGATTCCAGACACATCACACACTGCATAGGGATAGACATGTTCCACTTTTACTTTTGGTGGCAGTGAATTATAATATTGTGTCCGACCCAAAATGAGTTTTGTGAGCCATACATCAGAAACAATAATTTACGTTTCATTACTTTTATAAGCCATATATAAGAAAACCATAATTTACTTTCAAAAAACATCCATAAAAAGTCGTGCAACATCAAACATCTTTTGAAGAATATCTACTAATACAGTTGAACAACTCTCAAGTATGTACATTCTCCACCAAATTAGGCGAACATTCTCCACTATTGACAGTCTTATATCTTTATGATTTTGCCATGTTTTCTCTGTATGTGAAAGGGGATTCATGACGTAGGTGAAGCAGTCGAGAGTTCAGAATGTAAGTGAAGCAGTCGAGAGTTCAGAATGTAAGTGAAGCAGTTAAGTTGGCCAACACAACACGCGAAAAAAGACTCGAACTAGACCTAAACATTTGTCCTTAATCAACAAAAGCAATGTCACGTATACCAGAGTCACGCATACCACAGTCACATATTTAGCTACGAATGATTCCTTTGAATAACCTAATTTCAACGAAATGAATCTTCCTTGGAGCAGACGTAACAAAAAGGAGAAAACCTAACAAATTGCGAGAAACAATCCCAATTCTTGAATCATAACTAACAAAATCACATACTTAAGAAATAAATCCAGCCTGAAAAAAAGATGTAGGTGACAACAATTTCACTTCAACCCAAAATTCATCAACCCAAAGTAACATCGAACATTTGCAACAGGCTAACAAGTGACAACGAAATTCAATTATATTAAAAAAAAAAAATCAAAGTCAATACAGTAACCGGAAAAAAAAATTAACCTCATCATCCTTCTCGGTATCTCCTGCCGCCTCCACGGCCAAAGTTCATGGGCGGCGCCAACACTTATCGGTCCCTGATCTCGATGCGGTCGACTCTAATGGCGTTCTCGTCGGGCACGGAATCCATACGCCGATCGCGCTCCTCCTGCTGCAGCTTGAGTGAGATCCAACGGACAGGCGCTCCTGGATGCGCTTCATCAAATGTGTGGAGAATCCGGCGATCTTGTTGCGGCGACGCTTCGACGGAATGATTGCGGCTACCTCTTCCATGATCCTCTTTCACGAGACGCGATCCATCTACATGGGTGGTGGTTTTCGGTCGGCGGCGGCGGCGGTTGCGGCGGCTAAAGGGTGGGGATTTTCGGTTGTATTGGCTAGGGTTTGGAGTGGGGAGACGGCAGTTGGTTTTACGTGTTTAAAAATGAAAATGGAAGTTTTGGACTTGGCACCTCTATTGTTTATTTATATTAAAACGACCCATAAGGTTTCCAGTAATACTTTATTGAGCCAATTATATTTCTTTTCCTTACTTTTGCCCCCTCCTCCTTTTCCTTTTTTGAAATAAAAAACATAATAATGAAAACCACCAAATAAACTTATCTACTCGAGTTCGAGTTGAGCCGGAAAAATTTAATGAGCTTGAGCTTATTTTTTCCTTCTAATTTATATGAACTTTATATTATTATCAATTATTTATATTATAATACAAAAATTACAGAATAAAAAAAAAATTGCACGTAGTTATTTACTATGATTTTATGTATATATTATATAATATAAAAAAATATAAAATAAAATTAAAATAGCTCATGAATAAACAAATAAAAATTGGTTGTAACTTAATCTTGTCAAGAAACTCGAACTTCCGTCGAGCCAGCTCATCAACGCATTTGCACCTGTGATTTAGTTTAATATAGTTTTCCTTCGGGGAGAGGGCTTTTTTGAAAATGTCATGAACTGTATTGGAAAATATAACCACGAGTGTTATGGCACATCGAACTCGCAGGGGCCTTTTTACCTTTAACTAATTTCCACAGGGGTTATGTGCTAATTTTTTTAACACGCGGGTGTTTTCAGCAATTCAAAATTACACAGGGGTGGTTCTTGGAAAAAGCCCATAGTTTATGGCTTGATTGGGCCTATACGTTAGATAGGATGGCCTATTTCTGGTGTCACACATTATTTGATTTATTATGATACAATAATGTTTATAAATAATAAATAAATAAATAAAACATCTAATATTTATTTATAATTTAATGCCCCCACCACCTTAATTCCCAGCATCATGTTGTTGTGGCTCTGGGCTCCCACAACAGCCTGTCCATCTCTCTCTCTCTCTCTCTCTCTCTCTCTCTCTCTCTCTTTCTCTCACACACACACACACACACACACACACAGTGTATCTATAGTACAACTGTCGGCAGGAGATATTAAAATCAAGTGAATACAGTTAAGACTTACAGACAGAGACAAACAGATAACATTCATCCAGCAAACATTCACTCTTTCTTACCTTATTATACACAGCCGACAAAAATGAGCAAAACACAAGAAACCAAAAAAGACAAAAATACTGCAATTCATATTATATATCATTTCATCACCTCTACATATATCAATGATGAAGACAATAAATAATAATAATAAATTTATGAAATAACGAATGGAAAGCTACGAAAATATATACCTAAATTAGCCGATGCACGGACGAGATTTTACGGAGTGATATTGCATTCCCGTAAATATTGGTGATCGTAATCCACGAATTTAGCCCAATAATTGCGGAATTTCGGCAACCCTATTTCGAGCCACGGTTTTAAATTCCCGTTGTAATGTATGACAGCCGCTCGTTCGATGTCTTTTAAAGGTACATTGGGATTATAACCGAGCCCCAATACATGCCAGGATTTATCGAGCGCGTAGGTTCGATTCGAAAAGGTTATCAGTCCAGGTGGCAGTGTACCCAGTTTCCACAACAGCCTATCCTCATTCTGTACACCAAAAATTACAGCTTTGCTTCAGAATATAGGTGTTAGAGAAAATATTGAAATTTCAAATATTAATTTATCGACACTTGCTATGGGGGAAAAGACATGGCCAAAACGACACTTATTTTTAAACGAAGGGCGTAAATCATTAAGGGTTTGTTTTAGCAATTCCATATAACACAGGGTGCTAAATGCAATAAACTCCATAAATCTTTAAACAAACTTACCAGATTCTGCCATTTGTGGTACACCTCCGTGATATTTTGCTTCCTCCACTCATCCAAATCAAAGATATTCATTCCAAATGCCCAACCACAAGCTCGAGGATCGAAATTTTTCGAGATAATAGGGTTCGAGAAATTGAGGTAACGGTCAAAACGGTGAAAAGTTTCTCCACAGGTTTCAACCACTCCAATAACCTTCCCCTTCAAATTGAGAGAAAAGATGCCACTAAGATCCTTTTGGACTACAATATCATCATCCAAGAACAATACTTTATCGAGCTTTGGGAAAATTTCCGGAAGGTAAAACCGTAGATGGTTCATAATTGAAAGGTATTTAGGGTTTCTATACTTTAGGTTGGAATCAGATTCGGCACGTTTGCCTTTGAAGTAGTAATCAATCATGGACCGAGAACTTAGCTGCTTGAGAACAGGGCTGTAACTTGAATTTAGCCATGTGAATTCTTCGACATTTTGGACTTGTATTGTTGCTTTGCCAGGTGGATTTGCTAAGAACCACATTTTCATTGCTGCGTAATTGAGCCTATCTGTGACTACATGGAAAACGTGTTTCGAAGGATCCTGCAGAAAAAAAAAAAAAAAAAAAAAAAAAGATCAGTATTTGTAGCATTTAGGTGAAATTTGAATATCGACAATGTTTGGCCCCCTTTTGGAGTTCTATTTCCATTTTATTATGGGGAAAAGATGTTTTCGGAGAAAGAAATACTGTTCGTTGGTATTTCAAGAGATGATTACACTACTTAGCATGTTCAATAAACCCCAATTTGTTAACTTAGCATTCAAGTCATGTCAAAAGGAGGAGAGAGAATAATGAAATGTGTTCACAAACTGTTTTCCCGAATTTCTTACTTCTAATTTGAAAAGGAAAGCAAAAACAAATTTGTTTTGTGGAAAAGATTTTTAGAAGGGGATGAAGGGGGCCAAAAATAAAATTCTCGAAAAGACAATAACATTTTTTTTCCATACCTTTGCATGAGTTATTGTAGAGTTCACAACAACAGCAGCAGCCAACACATTATCCGAAAACAAGGCATAGTGATATAACTTCGGATTTTCCAAATTCTCCTTATTCGAAAAATCCCTTTGAGACGAATTCAACATGAAATATTCGGAAGAAAGCCGTAAAGGAAAGCAGTGAAGCCCTTTAGGCACAGTCTTCGCAGTTAGGTGCGTCAAAAACAAGGCCTGTTTCTTGTGGGCCCGGAGCTGCTCCTCAGCCAAATGAAGCATCGCTCTGAGTTTCTTCACCACAGCAGCACAATCGTCTTGTATTTGTTTTCCTTTCAATAGGGTTTGCTCCATTGCTTTCATCTTCTCATTAGCACTACAATAAAATAATCACAGACCAAAAATTTAAGATAAAAGAAAGTAGAAACACCAGTTCATCATTTTCTTGAAATACCAATGTTAGATTAGCCGTTATGCAATCTTATGAAAGCCCAATTGTATAATTGATAAGACCTAACTTATTAACTAAGGGAGTTGCTAAATGTTGTTTCGATTTTATGGGTACCGTTTGGACTTTGTGATTTTGACCCCTTCTTTAATCTGAATTAGTCGAAAGTCAAAACACCAAATTTGTAGTCATTTGAGTTGGCTTTCTAATCCAACTTGAATTAGCTAAATTGGATGTTGGACGAGATAGATATGCATAAATTAATGATCACTGACTACAAATTTGATGTTGAGTTTTCTGAGATACAGACTGTTAATTATTCATGCATAAATCTCTCAACCGACATCCAGTTTAGTTGATTCCAATTGGATTAGACAGCCAACTCAGAGGACTACAAATTCGGTGTTTCGACTTTTGCCAAATGCGGACTGAAAATGGTGAAAATAACATTTGAAGCCAAAACGGTAATGATAAAACTGAAACGACATTTAGCATTTCAGTTTAGCTAATCATGGCTTATTTTACTACGCCTATAATTACTATTAAAAATAAGATGTAAGTTGAACTAGAATACTTACTTCCTAGGCAGCTCAGAATCCTTGGTAGCCTCTCCTAGTACTCGTTGGACTTCCTTTATACGTAATCGAAGATCCCTTATAAAGTGGGGATTATTTCGAGTGGCTGATAGTGAAAGATAGACTCTTCCTTGAATGAGTTGATCTTTAAGCTGGCGAACACGAGCATCTGACAGAACTGCTCTTTCGTTCTGTCTAGACTTTACTTCTTCTCTAGTTCGTGAAGAGTGCTTTATACGTTTTAGTTCCTATAAGAAACCCCATAACATAGCAAGAGATTATATAATTAATTTTCTTGTACATCACCAAACCATAAAACTGTAAGAGAAGTTTCTTAACTTGGGAAAATCAATCTAACCTTTTTCTCCGAGACGTTTTCTGATGTTACATCATCCTGTCGATTCTCAATCTCTGTATTCTCATGCAATTGAGGTTTATTTGATTTTTCTTTCCCCGTTCCGACCTCATCCTCGTGAACTGTACTGATCACCTGTCGTATGGGATTTTCATCCTTGCTGCCGCCACTACTGCCCGACAAATTTGTAGTTTTATCTTCTGTCGATTCTGTTATTATTTCAATGAATGAATTTGTAAACCGATTGCAAACTGAGCGTAATTGAAAAGAAGAGAGTGAATAAGCAAATAGAAACCTTCAGTGAGTTGTCTAGTGATTCGAGTACTTTCTTCGGATTTATTAGAACTAGCCTCGATTGAATTTTCTGAATAAACGACACCCAACGGTTCTTTCAGCGTTGTAGATGATTCCTGTCAATCAGTACAGCAATAATTAAATAAACCATAACAATAAAGATCTGGCACTTCCATCCCAACTGTTACGCACGGGAGAAGGAAAAAACATACCTGAGGTAGCACATTTAAAGGCCTAACTTCCCCAGCAAATGTCTACATACAAAAAAAAATCGAGAATTCAACATCGAACAATTGAGAAAAAAACAAACAAATATCAAAAAATTACGAAAACTTACGAATGTCGAACCATCTTCCATAAATTCATTCCTAGCTGTAAAATCATAGCAAACAGAGAGCACAAAATCAATTATTAAAAAAAAAAACAGAAAAAACAATCAGAGAAATAAATGAACACAGATCAAAAGGATAAAATCAACAGTGGAAAATGGAATCATTACAAGAAGAGGGAGTGGAATAAAGTCCGAGAGTGTCGGTGTAGAGAACAATAGGAGCAAAAACTGTAACCAGCAGCAAAAAAAGCACCGGTTTTCTGAGCTTCGTCTTCATCTCTCAGAAACAAATCTTCACGCCACAACACATGAACACAAACAACACCCACAGAAACGGAAATTGAAGAATTTCTGAATTTCTCGACAGTAATTTCTATGTATTAACGAAAACCCTAATTGAGGAGAAGGAATTGTGTAAAAAGTGGATTACTGAAAAAGCCCGGATAATGCGCAGATTTGGGTATATCTGTAGAAAGGAGAATCTCGTCTACATTAGCTGAAAAAACACTCAAATCGAACAGAAATTAACCTAATTGAGAAAATCGAAAAGGAGAAAACGAGTGTGCGATTTGAATTAGAGAAAAAAAATCAGCAAAAATGGTGAGAGAAAATAGGGAGAAGATGAAGAATCGATGTGGATGTGAGTTGGCTGGTGTTCTGCTACTCTGAGTGCGTATGAAGAAATAATATTATTTTTATTTATTTAAGGGTAAATTACAAACACCCCCCTGAGGTATGGTCAAATTACAAAAATACCCCTCTTGTTTGGATAATTACAACCACCCCCTCAACTCCTCAAATTTAGTGAAATCTTCGAGATTATATGGAATATTATCACTTTTGTACCCGTTTTATCTCATTCAAACTCTACATTATGAAGCAAGATGATCATAATATGTGATTTTTAGCTTGTATATATCAGTTTTTAGTGCATCGGAAACTGTATTTTTACACAAAACGAGTACAAACTAGAGCAAATTTCACGATATCTAGATGATTATGTTGAATTTGGCACCATAAGGGTGGAGGTGTAAGAAAAAATCATAGTTGAGGGGTAGATGTAATTATCCAAACAAGAGGGGGGTTTTGTAATTTAACCATACCACAGGGGGTATTTGTAATTTACCCTTATATTTAATTAATTAATTAATTATTTATTTATTTATTTTATTTTTCCGTTGTTTGTGAATTGTGACGATGGAGAAAGTTCATTATTATATTATTAAAATTAATTAAATGACAATCACATCATAAATTTAATAGTAATTTGCAATTTGCTCCCTCAAATTATAGAAATTTTGATTTGTTGCCCATAATTAAAAAAAACGTAATTAATATTTATTGACATTAAAAACAATTAAAATATACAACTACTTTTTTTTTTAATGACAGCCAACATATATAGGTATTTAAATTGAACTAGGGCAACGCGGACATAGACTTTTTTGCATCATTTTCTTCAATAGAACTGGACCAGTCTTAATTAATTAAATAATTTTGTCTAAGAGAATAATTAAACAACACGACGTTTAGATAATGATAAATTTAGTGATGTGTAATCAATAGTAGGACCGGCAATTGAGTAGGGCCTAACCGAAGTTCGATGGTTTGATCCGATTATATTTGAACATCACCTATTTTTTTAGAGAGTCGGGCTTAGTTTGAGTCATTTTACTAAACTCGATTTTTTATGAGCCGAATTTGAGTCTACTGTAGCTCCATCCAAATAAGGCCCGACAAATTAAGTTACTAATAAAATATAATTTTAATGATATGGCTCGACATATGGTTATTTAGTTTATTGTCTTAATTTTATTACATAATTTTCAAATTTGACAAAACTGCTTCATCTAATCTAAAATGCACTCAATCTAAGAGATCCGTATCGATGATCACTTTTTGCCTTCAAAAAATGATCAAAAAAACTGAGATTTCTCAGCCAAAAAACAAACGTAAATCGATTAATCAGATCATCAATTCTTTCTTAAGTTTTGTTAGGACAGATATTGTCGAGCGGCTGGTCAATGATGGAGCTCCAAATGCAATCCAACGGTTCAAAATCATCGACTCCGAACGAACACAAACTACCACCGTCGAATTTATTGACATCGAAATTCCGATCGGATGCAAGTGAATTTTGCAGACAAGGTTGGTCGAGATTTGCTACAAGAGTGTTGTCTTCTTCACCTAAACAAGAACATGGTGCAAAAACGTGATCTTCTGGCTTTAAGAACTCGTCCATTTCAAAGACAGAGCCCTCTTTGAGCCACGGAAAATCGAAAACTCCGTTGCGTTTTGATTTCCTGTAAGAAGAATCGTTGTCCGAAGAAGTGACGACTATTTCTTGTTTCTTGCCCTTGTGGGGATATTCTTTTCTTTTATCATCTCCTTCGTCTCTTGTTCTCTTCTTCTTCCTGTGAGCATTGCCCTTTCTCTCCATAATCTGAAGCACGGGTTAAAATGATAAAACTCCGTATTAAAAAATAAAAAAAAATGAAAAAAAAAAGAGATAAAAAAGAAGTGGGATAATATATCTAACAGAAACCTTTCTGCGTGTTTTAATTTCTTTTTCTGGTAATAATTTTCAAGGAAATGAATTATGGGTTTTCAGGCTCACATGCCGAGTGATTAACGAGTTAAAAAATAAAACCGTTTTTACACACAGACACACACATGGAGTGTGTGTAGAAATGCACACCATCCATCACTACTTTTTTTTACCAGACAGACAACTCTCTGCCTCTCCTTTCAAACTCTCTTTCTATGGGTATAAATAGAGAATACAGATAGATACAACAAATACATGCATGTAATCGTATGACACGATTAGGTGAATTGGAGAAGGAATTTGGCTTATCCTTATATATATATTTATGCCCTTTTTTTTTTCCCTTTCCCTCGTCGTGATTTCCTATGTAGATCTGATTATAAGACCCTAAGAAAGAGCGCATTTTGCGTCTTTCCTCTAAAATGTTTGGACTTTTGCCATTTTTACTTTATTTGAAAAATAAAATAAAAATAAAGAATTGCACAATCAAAATGGCACACCAAATTAATAAAATGGAGGAACTTCTTTCATTTGCCTTCCTTTTTTTTTTCCGTATATGCTTACCAACAAATTTCAACTGCAGTGATCGCCACCTTGAGAAGAACAATCCCTGCCATCTGACGGGCCTGGAATTCCACTGTAAACAGATACAAGATGCCATTTATTAAGCAATTGATTTAAGTACTAAATATATAAAAAAAAATATTAATAATTTTGTTCGAGGATATATTTGAATCTTGGAGAGTAATTATAATCAGAGACATTTGGGAAAAGTCATATTTATAACTAGCCAACACAACGGCAAACCGCAATCAGACAACAGTTTATGAAAACTCTCTTATGTAACTCTCTCAAACGAAAGATCAGATTACTGAATTTTTTTTTCGGCAGCAATTAAATGATCATATAATATTCATATTATCATAATTCTTGGGAGCATTTAAATCAAAAGAAAAATAAAAATGACGGGGAGTAATAAAATATCAAGAGGAAAAAATAACAAGCTAACCTCATTCGACACATCGAAAACTCCATCCTGAACGTTCTTGTACATCATTGCTGATGTTCTCATAAATGCCACTACATAATATTTTGGATACTGAAATACGAACGGCCAAAATCGTAAATCCATTCTCTTCCGCAAACTGTTCTTCAGTGCTAACGGCTTTTCTGCGTGCGAGATTGCATTTTTGGAATGCCTAACATCTTCTGGCCACCTGGCATGCATGCTTCCCTCCTTCCAGGTAGGTAAATCAAGAAACAATTAGAAATTATTAAGCTTAATCTTTCTTCCATCTTGACAAGCTTTATAGAAAAGAGTATTCGCGTAACGACCAGATAACTATGAGATACAAATTTGCCGGATTGAATTGATTGTACGGGCTTAGTTTTGTCCGATTTCTTATTTCAGATACTCGAAATAAATAAGCCGTGCCTGAAGAATAAAACACGAGACTGAAACAAGCATGACTCAACATTTTCTGTTATGCTTGAATGCCCTCGATGTATATTATAAAACGATAAGGGCAAACAGAACAAATAAAGACAGAGCTTACATGCATGTAAAACAGAACAAATTAGCAATCGTAATTCAACTGTGATTTTCGACTGATTCGTAAACATTTTCCGACATTCTCGGTGACTGAATCAGTCGCACGTATGAATATTTAGTATCAGCCATCCCGAACAAATCTATGAACCAACACAACATAAAATCTTCAGCTGAGAAATATGAATGAAGAAATCCAACAGCATCCCATATTTGAAGCTTAATTGGCTTATTGTCAATGGTTACTTACAAAATGAACCAAATCATCACAATTCACAGGCTCAGAATGAGGTTGCAATCAACATTTGTTCATATGAAATTCCACACACACACGCGCGCAACTCGATTTCAATTTTACTCCACCAGAACAAGTATTTCATGCCTAATCCCCCCCAAAAAAAATTCCCAAATCTAAACACGAAAACCTAAGCAACAACCAATAGAAATCTCTTCTCCAACAGATGACAGACGAAGAAGATCAAACGATCAGAAATTCTGAAACAGCAAAGAGGAATTACCAGTATCGCCGATGAATACATGCGTGGTGCAGATCTTCAATTTCGAATTCTTCGATTGGGGGAAGAAGAGAGGATCAGAACTCAGAATTCAGTAAACACGAGTAAATGAAATTTCAAGACGATAATGGAAAAATTAGTCATACTAATTCGTCATTAATTAAACATTAAGTAAGCAGGAGTCAAACATGGTTGACTTTTAGTGGTTTGTTTGTAGGGTGTCGGTTTGATCAGCTTGGACCGGATACGGTCCGGTTCTGTGTGGATCGTATTTAAAAAGAACCGGATAAAAAATTATGGTCTTAAAGTGGTATCTTATGGAGTTTAATAATTTATGAGATTGAATAACTCAAGTTATATGCTTTAATATCCCTACTTTATCTGATTCAGAATTGCTTAATTCCACTTTACACCCTCAAAATATATTATTTTGGCACTTTAGATTCTCGTAAAATAACTTATGGCACTTTCCACCTTCGAAACAAGTTTTATTGTTTAGAGTGCACCGCTAGTCTATTTTCTGGAAATTATAGGGTAAATTACGAAAAAAACCTCCCGTTGGATAATTGCAACCACCCACTCCAACTATAAATCTCCTTACACGTCTACCCATGCGGTGTCAAATTTGGTAAAATCTTTTAGAATATATGGAATATTCTCTCATTTTATCTAATTCGAACTCCACATTTTGAAACAGGATGATAGTAAGATGTGTTACTTATCTTGTAAATATCAGGTTGTGGTGTATCAGAAACTGCATTTTTGCACAAAACGAGCACAAACTACAGAACATTCCACGAAATCTAGAAGATTATATTGAATTTGAAACCATAAGGCTGAATGTGTAAAAAGATTCATAATTGAGGGATAATTGTAATTATCTAAACATGAAAGGTTTTTTTCGTAATTTGAACATACCTCAGGGGTGGTTGTAAATTTTCCAAGACATATCAAGAATAAATACTTCACATCAATTTTTTGGTGAAGAAAAAAATTAAATATTTCAATTGTGAAATATATGTTTTCTAAAGAAATATGACAGGTTTTGTCAGTTAAACTAAAAAAATAAAAAATAAAATAAAATGGCCTCAATAATGAACAGCAATTTCCCAAGAAGTAGTTCCTGAGGGAATATTAACTGTCAAAAAATGATTTTCACAACTGAAATCGAATTCCAACTCCACACCATTAACACAGCAAAACTTTGGCCTCGAATTGGAATAAGCTCCGAAAACACCTTCCCCTCTCCCTCCGATTCGTATTCCGACAAACGAAGAATCATTACTAACCGCCTCGACTTTAACGGCTGCCCCTCCGGAATTGTACATATTTATCAATCCAATTGGTGCAAATTCAATTTCTTGATCATATTTCTGTCACATTTTCAGACAAAATAAGTAATTATTATTATTATGTAACAAAATAAAAAAAGAATCTTGTTTTACTAAGTAGTGAAGAACTACCTTAATTGGACACACTGTGAAGACATCACATTGTAATGTTTTAAGTGTCACATTTAGCGTTCCGTGCATCGGTACTCGAGATAGACGCCCTGAAAAATATTTTCATACACCGAGCATATTTTTTTTACGAACTTTGTCACACACACACACACACACACACACACAGAGAGAGAGAGAGAGAGAGAGAGAGAGAGAGAGAGAGAGAGAGAGAGAGAGAGAGAGAGAGAGAGAGAGAGAGAGAGAGAGAGAGAGAGAGAGAGAGAGAGACCTGTTTTGAACGAAAATACAGCGAAATCTCCTTCAAACGAATCGGACAAAGTTTCCGAAATATAGTCAATATCCGATGGGGAAATCTCTCCGAATAACTCAACGCCATTTATATCCAAAGAACTCTCGAAACCGGGCCAATTTCCAGCTCCTTGGCAATTGAATACAGCAAGAACTCCCGAAAGTTCGTTCAAGTTCCATATCTTCATAAGGCTTTTTTTTAATTCAATAATTAAAAAAAACATAGGTGTTACAAAAAATTATATTATACTTTTTGGCCATAAACGAAAACAAGAACATTATATTCGACAAGAAATACCTTTTCCCATCCATAACAGGATCAACGAACAAACAATCTCGACAAGGCCTTCCGTGATATTTCGCCCGTAATACAGATCCGTTTGGCAGCACAAGCCTCTTTAGTATATCGAAATCGTGTTTTCCAGGTTTGTCACTGGACATTTATTTATCCATTTTATTATAGATTCAGGAAAAAAAAAACAATGTTCGATAAACGGGGTTTTTTTTTTCTCGTTTGTATGAAATATGGAAATGGAGAAAAAACCTACAACTATGTGTACCTTACATAGACTCCACAACCTCCAACAGCTCGAGCAATTGCATGAAATTCAGCCGATTCGTGTAGGCTCTGAAAATTAATTTAAAATAAAATAAAATTAGTTCCGATAAAAAAAAATGCTGCTAATATTTAACCATAAAAAATGAAAGCATCTCTTACATAAAACATATCCCAATCTGGAACAAATACTTCACCGAAGAATAAGCTGTTATAAGCCACAGCAGCTATATGCAAAGTCTGCGTTTTCGGGTTCTTGGGGTAGTAATCATCCGATGCTCGTGTAATAACACTCGTTTTCGAGCTGTAACCAATCACAAATAACGAATTAACGGGATAATAATAATAAAAAAAAAAAGGGAAAAAATTGAGATTTTTGTTCGAGTTCGGTACCTATAAACAGAATCCGTACTATTAGCCATGCAACATATAATCCCATTGTCTCGAAAGTTGTTGGATATTGATTTTTCGAGAGATTCGTGAAAGTGACGAGCAAGTGGGACCCGCCCACCCGAGCCTGTGGCTACTGTTTCTAGAATGTTCTGTACATCGACTTTAACTCCGTCGATTTCTTGCGAGACAAGATAACTGTGTAGATCATCGTAAAATTCGAAAATCATATTCGGATCGACTGTGCCTACACCGTATTCCTCCATACGATCCATAGCTATATCCCTTTTATGCGAAAGATTCCCTTTCGATTGTTTCGGAAATTTTAATGTGGGATTGTATTTCTTTGTTCCGTCGGAATTTGGATGAAGTCCACCCCAATATCCCATTAATGCATGCCACACATATACGTACCTGAAAGAAATACGATATGCATAAAAAAAATAAAAAAAATATTCTTGTTTCTTGAAACGGATAAATATTTTATACGAAATGTGAATAAAAAGAGGTCGAAAATGGAAAGATAAGAACCAAGAAACGAGCGTACTTGACGCCATATGTCTTCTTTATATCCGAAACGAAGTCCTTTAGACTATGTGGAGTGTTAATTGAATCGTCGCTTGCTTCTTTTCGGAATTTTTTGTTCTCTCTTATGCTCATTAATCTAGCTCCAAATCTGCATTTTTTTTCAAGATTAACTTAATTAATTACATGTTAATTACGTACATGCATTTTTTTCTCCCAAGTCAAAACTCACTGTGTCCCTTCAACGAAAGGCTCTCCCTCTTTTCGGAACTCATTTGTAGTATCTTGCCATCCATCGTCGATTATTAAAAACTTCGGCGGAGTGCCACCTTCAGACAAGCTGCGGAACAATCACAGAATTCAGACAAGATATTAATGGAAATAAACAAAAAAAAAATAGCTCATTTGAAATTATTTCTTCAACATTCCGGTTTTTAAATATGAATTACATCGACAAGACGTACATGGAAGACATTGCGAAATACAGACATGCAAAATTAATAGCAGCACGAACGAACCTTTTCAACCTTATGAATAAAGATTAGATTTTTAATAGAGATGTAATTTCTATATGAATAAAGATTCGATTTTTTTTTCTAATGGCAGCACGAACGAACCTTTTCAACCCGTCTTTGATTCCCTGAGGATTGACATCGTGGTAAAAAGCATCCCACGTACACCAACCGAACAAATCGAGCATACCAGGCATCTATATCAAATATAACAAGAGTTCAATTTTAAATTTTAATTATATAACATATTCTCGTTTTTTCGCAATTGAGGAAGAAAAATCTCGTAATACACTACTCACCTGCTTCGTTTCTTTAATTGCAAACGTCCCGCTGTACTTCTGCAGGATTCTGTACATCGACAGAGAGATAAATAATAATCATTAAAAAAAATACCATCACATTTTGCCTTTACGCTTTTGTCATACTAATCAAGAAAACGGGGGGCCCACCTACTTCATAGATTCGTTGATCAATTCGAACGGGTTTTTTCCGTAATTCACAAAAACTGCCTTGAGACACTCCGATGCAATTACGGTGGAATCGCCTAATCGAATCGTGAGAAAAAAGCTCATATAAGTACTTTTCGAGATAAACGATAATTTTTTTTTACGTAGAAAAAATAGTCGAAAATTTGAGATTCGAATTCCTAACCAGTTTCGACGCAAACTTGGAGCTCATTAGCTGCATTCCCTTGGAGGCTGCTTCTGAATTCGCCATCCAATACGGGTAAAAATAGCACGTAAGTCGTGTTTGGATTAGAATCTTTAGAAATCGATGATTTTTCTTCTTTTGTTTCGAGAAGCAACATTTGTGTTTCGACAGGAATATTCCTCCCCGATTTCCCCACTCGAGGTATCATCCACCAGATTTTAAACCGAAATAGCGATAGAAATCGAGCATCTCTACATACAAACAGTTCAAATTGAAAATAAATTCAACTATGGCACAATGTAATTCGAATTTTTAATTTTTATGTCAAATAAATAAATTAAAAAAAAAAAAAAAAAAAGACAGAATCCCAACTTACAATTAGAAATTATCTTCTTGAAAATGTATTCAATTATGTAATTTTTTTTGTAATTTGAATGAATTGAAAAATCTGCTTACTCAATAACCCCTAATTTGAAAACATGTCGGGAACTGCTTTCAGTGGAAGTAGCACCCAGGAAAGCCGACGAATCGGATAACGGCGTCATGACGACGTTATCAGGCACGCCGACGAGAGCATCGGCGCCGTTTAATCTCAGAACGCCGTTCTTAACCGCCGCCGCCGTCGTCTTGAGGAACATGGAATACCGGCTGCGGCGACCAATTCTGCGGAAACTGAGGAACCCATTTCGAAAGATGCCGCCTTTTGCGGGTAGAAATGGAGAGAGATTCATGGGTTGCAGAGTTCTCATAGATGCGCAAGCCGCCATTGCCATGGTCGGAGTTTTTTCGAGAAAACCTTACACAGCAAGCAAATGTGTAAGAATTTCTATGTATATATATGTCTTAATCAGCCAAATAATGGCAAGAAATTCTCATCTACAGAATCAAAACAGTATCCTCTAATTTTTATTTTTCTTCTTTCAAAAAAAAAAAAAATTGTTTTTCTTGGATAATTGTTTTTTTTTTTTTTGAATTAAAAATGTGATTTTTAGTGGGCTAGTGGGCTACTGCCACGTGGACCAATGTTAGTCTTTCTTTGTTGGGATTGTTTGGTGCTCTTAAAAAAAGTGATTAAGAAGATTTGATTGGGTGAGAAGTGATCCACAACATTCCACGAATGTTTTTTTTCCTCATAATAATGTCATAAAAGTCAACCCTCCCGGTCATAATGTCTAACAAATCGGAGTTCGATCGGTCGTCAATACTTACTAGAACGAGTTCGTCGTTTTAGGAGTTGTTCGGTGTAGTTTACGTACGCTTGTCAAATGATTTTGTGTGAAAACGAAGCTTAAACTACAGTAACACCTCGATAATTTAATATTTTATATATTAATAAACTTTTTTTTTGTTCTAACTCGATGACAAAGTGCTAAAAGTATATATATGTAAACTAATATTTTGCTGAATCAATAGAATTTGATTGATCTCATCTGTATAAATTTATTACACCAATATTATTATATTTTTACATTATCTACGAATAAAAAGATACAATTTCTACATTATGTCGATTCGGGAACATAATTGGAATTAGTTTCCGACTTCCAAAAAGTGTTGATTCCAATCGATTCGATTTCCACGTCATGGCAATGTACATGGACGACGTAAAGAAAGAGAGGGGCAAAGTAGGTAATTTCCCCTATTGGGCCTAACTTCAAGAGTGCGTTTCTTCAAATTAAATATAGAGTCGCTAAGGCCCATTTATAGGTGGCAGTCAAAAAGATAAATATTAAAAAATAATACAAAAATAAATGCGGTGAGCGTGGATCGAACACGCGACCTTCAGATCTTCAGTCTGACGCTCTCCCAACTGAGCTATCCCCGCAAGTATGAAATGACTCACCAACGATTATATATATACACAAGTATATTAGTTGACTTCAACCTCCACCATTAGTTGCCAAAATTAGTAGTAATTAAAAAATTATTTCATAACTTGATATATAATCATTTTTTATTTATCAGTACCCAAATGTTACTACTTATTATTCAATATTTATATAGTTGCCCTCATCAACCGACCAGTGATGTGTCCTCTCAACTGCTAGTGTACTTTATTTTATACTCCAATAATTATATTTTTTAGATAAGACAGGTAAGAGCTTATTAATTATTTGAATTAAATTCTTGTCATATACTACTGTACTTAAATATTTTTATTTTGTATTTCATTATAGATCATATCAAAATCTTATACGGATTACTCTCGTCTTACGCCCTTTAAATATAATATTTTGACACTTTGCAACCTTAAAAAAAATTAATAGTATTCTGCACACTTGAAATATGATAAATTATGCATAATGAAGTCTCGGATGAATTTTTAAAATTGATAATGGTAATTTTATATTTTTAGTGGGCTTTTTTTTGGAATAACAACTTCCGAATCAATTTTTTATATTAATAAATTATTTCAAAACTACAAAGTGCAAAATATAAATCTTCTCTTCTACATATTAAAAAAAAAAATCACAAAAAGTTATATTACCAAAAATAAAAAGAACAAAAGAAATCATTCAGCTATTTTGTTATAAAGTTATTTGAAAATTATATTTTCTTCTAAAGATTTCTACCAAATATTTTCACTAATTAAAATAAAGATCCATCAATCGAATAATTAATCCAATCTTATATCTCTATATTTGTTATGTAATAATCAACGGCTGACGTTTTCTCTCTATTTAGGGCATTTCAGTCAAAAAAAAAGACCTTGTCTTTTTTTTTTTTTTTTTTTTTTTTGAGAGTCAACTTTTGTGGGGGGGGAAGAAGAAGAAGGAAGAATTCTCCGTTTACCATTACATAACTGATTCTTCTTTTAACAGCCGTGCTGTTATTTATTACACCCATTTTCTCTAACAAGTAGCCCACCATAGATTTTCTCTTGTCTGTTTTTATACAGTGTCAAAAATCAGAAAAAATCTTTTTTTTTTTTTTTTTTTTTTGTTTTTAAGTAGGATAAAGTAGGGAGGAGAAGGGTTGCCTTTCTTGAATCTTGACCCCATTAACTTTCTCTCTCTTTTCCTTCTTTTTTTTTTTTTTTTTTTTTTTTTCGGTTTCTAAAAATAAAAGTGGAATCTTTACTTGTCTCTCTCTCTCTCTCTCACTTTCTCTCTCATGCTGTTGTTCTTTCTTTCTCTCTCTCATTTAACTAACAAAGGGAGAAAGAAGGATTGTACTAGAATATACAAGTGAAAAATTTAATAAAGTTGAAATCTTTGTTGTTTCCTTTGTAAGAAGAAGAAGAAATGGCTATTGTTCCACAAGAATCCATCACTCAATTTCAAGTGTTAATGGATGAACGTATGTTCAATTTTGACCTATTTATTTATACTATTTCTTGATTTTAATTTTCATTTTTTTGATAGCCCACTAATTATTATTATTATTTTTTTGGGTGGAAGTCTGTGCAGTTGAAGAATCACTCGGAAGAACATTCCAGGTTTTTAATCTGCTTTTTCATATATGCAATTTTGGGTTGCTTGATCTGCTAATCAACCCTGTAATGGATTAGTTTGGATTAGATGGGATTGGATTGATTAATTTAATAATGACATTTTCACAATTTCTTGTTCACTGTTTGTTCAACAGGTTCTTGTTGTATAAATATAAATATAGAATTATTTATTTCTATATTAATTATAGTTTGGGGAGAATAGTTTTGTATGTAATTGAATCCCTTTTTGGTTATTTGTGTGACATTTTTATTATTCGAATCGATTTGCAGAACATGCATCAAGGCTACCCGCACGAAACTCTGACGCGTTTTCTCAAGGCAAGAGAAGGAATTGTCGAAAGGGCTCACAAAATGGTCAGTGACAAAAAAATAATTCACTTTAGAATATGTGAATTAATCGTGCCGTGCGTCGTCGAGTTTTTGAATCAACTAATTTGTGATCATTTGATTATTTTTCTTTTCAGTTGGTTGATTGTCTGAATTGGAGAGTGGAAAACGACATTGATAATATGCTAACTGTAAGTAATACAGTTGCTCGTCCCGATAAATTTTTACGACTTCATAAGAATTACGAGTAATTCAATTTTTATTTTATTTTTTAATTATTTTTACTGCAGAAACCGATTGTTCCTGTAGAACTCTACAGAGCAATACGCGACTCACAGCTCATAGGATTATCGGGTTACTCATTCGAGGTGATCCTTTTATAGACAAGTAACAAGTTAAATATTTATTTTAATTAATAATTCAGAACAGTACGTATAATCTTTCTTCGATCGAAATTCCGTATTTTTACTATAGGGCCTCCCTGTATTTGCAATTGGAGCAGGCCTCAGCACGTTTGACCAAGCGTCGGTAAGTCTTATCGTTAATTAATTTATCATTTTCAATCAATTTAAATAAATGTAGAAATTTCGGTTTTTATTGCGTACTATTTTATTGATTTTGGACTGTCTATCGTCTTTCATCTTAGGTTCATTATTACGTGCAATCCCACATTCAGATAAACGAATATCGGGATCGTGTGATTTTGGTAAGTATGGTCATGCTTCGTTCTAACTTCTTGGGTTTATTGCATTTGGCACCCTTGTATTTTCTCTAATTGTTAAAAAAACTTATTTTATTAACAAAAACTCCTTTAATTCTTTTTTTTAAGCAAACTATCCCCATAAACTCACTGTTTATGGGTTGTCTGGTAAAGAAAATGCATTATAAGGGGTTTTTTTTGGTAAAATTAATAACATGTGGAGTTTTTAGCAATTCGATATAAGATAGGGGCACTATATGCAATAAACTCTTCTGTCTGCCTTCTCCTTTTTATTGGCACATGTGGTTAATCCCTCGTGTTTTTATTACAGCCTGAAGCGACGAAAAAATACGGGAAACATGTTAGCAAATGTATAAAGATTCTAGATATGACTGGATTGAGACTTTCGGCATTAAATCACATAAAGGTACATTATCTTTCGACGGCAGGAAATGTATCGTCGTTATCCATAAATATCCGACTCAATTATTTATTTATTTAAATGCAGCTCTTGACTATTATTTCCTCTATTGACGATCTAAACTACCCGGAGAAAACAAAAACTTATTATATAGTGAATGCACCGTACGTCTTTTCTGCTTGTTGGAAGGTTTGTCCCTTTTTACCCTTTGCCGAAAAAAGAAAGAAAAGAAAAAAACGGAGATGTTAGTTGAATTCTTCGAGTATCTTTACAAGATGGCATAATAGTAATTTTTGAGGTGTTTTCAGGTCGTAAAGCCACTTCTACAAGAGAGGACAAGAAGTAAGATCGATGTATTGTCTGGTTGTGGAGAAGATGATCTATTGAAGGTTTAGTTTCTTGAAAATCGCACTCTCCCTTTTTTGTAACTAGAAAAAAAAAGACGAGAGAAAATAAAAATTGAATCTTTGGTGCAGGTAATGGAATATTCCTCCCTTCCCCATTTCTGCCGAAAAAGATCCTCTGGCGACGAAAATTGCTTTTCATTGGACCACCATTTTCACCAACAACACTACAATTACATGAAAGATCAATCTTCGATTCGTCGAAGTATCGAGCCGTTAAAGCAAGGCTCTGTGCACGTAACTTTGCCTGAAGATGCTGACGAAGAAGATATCGCCAAGGCGTTGGAATCCGAGCTGGAGAAATTTAAGGATCTCGATAGATGCTCGGAATCAGTGACGGACCTGAAAATTAGCGACGAAAAAAGGTAGATGAAAGAATCGTCTCTCGTTTTTCTAAGGTGATAAAAATCGTGTCTTTGTCTGAATCTCTTATCGTGTTTTAGTATGTATAGCATGGTGCAAAGATGGTATCTTTGTTACCTTAACATAAGATACAAAGTAAATATAGGAAAATATCGAATATATTTATAAATAATTGACCGTCTTTTCGACTTTCTATATCGTGAGAGCTATATAATTTTCGTGTTTGTTACTAATTTTAATTTTTTTTTAATGAAAAACACTTCTACTGAAATTGATGCTGATCTATTTTATATGCTGCCCTTGATCTCATTTTTTGTTCACTGAATTTACAAATTTGCCCTTTCTTGAAAACCTTTGATACTATGACAATATATATTGTTTCTTGCTATATACTATGAATCGCTACAATTTTTGTACATTGAATTTACAAATTTGCCCTTTCTTGGAAACCTTAAATTGAAGTTAAAAAAAACTACTTTTTGATACTATGACAGTTATATATTGTGATCACTGCAATTTTTCTTCAGAAATATAAGAGGGTTCTCCGATTTCGGTATTATCCTCTTTTGTACGCCATTTTTGCAGTTCCCCTTCGACGACTTTTTTAGCAGCCTCGGCCATTTCTGCTCTCTTCAAAGCATCTTCGATTTCCGACTGTATATTCTCGTTCTCCTTCAGAATCCCTTCAACTTTCTGCAAAACTTCATTCTCGCTCGCGTTTAAACTCTGCACATGCGAAATTAAAGTCGCTACTTCTAAATCAGCTTTCTTCCTACACTCTTCGATTTTCTGGTTCATCGATTTGAACTCCTCGACCGTCAATCGGATCCTTCTAGAAGAACCCGGACCCTTGGAGTCGATCGCGTCGTTTCTCGGCGAATCGTGGATTTGATCGTCCGCCAGCTTTTCCGCAACTTTTGCAGCTTCTGCTTCTTTGAGTGCAGTTTCCAGCTTTTTGTCGGCTTCTTTTGCTGCAAAAGCTGCAGCTGCTGCTTCTTGCTTCACCAAATCGATTTCCTTCTTTATCTCTTCTGTTTCTTGTTTGTTCTTTGCAGCTTCTTCTAGAAGGTTCTCGAGAGCCGATTTCATATCTTCTAGCACATTCCTTGACCTAGCCTCGTTGAGCTCGGTTTTCCTATCGGTTAAATCGGCTTCCATTTGCTTAACTAGAGCTTCTGCTTCTAACACCTTATTGTTACACTCATAATGCTTCCTCTTTACTTCCTCTAATTGAAGCTGAATCGAATCGACAAAACTTCTAATCGAAACTTCTTCTGCAACGATTTCTCTAAGCTCCGTTCTAGCACAATCGAGCTCTAAAAGTACTTTTTTCAACGAAGAAAAATCCGAAGCACGAACGTCGTTGAGTTGCTCTTGCAATACCTTAATTGCTTCTGTTGTTTCTTCGAGCTTCTCTTTAAGATTCTCTCCCGCCCCGTTTTCTTCTTTGTAACGGTTGATTTCAGTTTCCGCAACTTCTCGAGCCGACTTATGAACGAGCACGTGAACTTCTTTCTCCGCTATGAGCTTCAAGTGCTCTTCTTGCGCTTGAAGAGACGCGATCTTGACTTGATCGAGCGTTTCTCGAAGCATTTTGACTTCTCTCGATAGTTGACTTTCTCTCTCTAGATTCGTTTTCGTGGCTTGTTTGGCGTCTTCGGTTTCTTGAAAAGCTAAAAGTTTAGCTTCTAAAGCGGCGTCGAAATCTTGCCTTAGATTAGTGAGTTCTTGTTTGCTTGCAATGAGTTCGCCCGACGAGGCTTTGTACCTTTCTCTCTCCGTATCGAGATCGAGTTTCCATGCATCGCTTCCGAGTTGGGCTTTTATCGACTTCTGCTTTTCGAGGTCGTGGGCCCGGGTTTTGGCGGCTTCAGTGGCTTTTATTGCGGCTTGTTTGGATTCGCTTAGAGCTTCTAGCTTGTTCGTGAGTTCTTGTAGGGTTCGATTGGCTTTTTGTAGGTCGCGTAGAGCTTGTGATTTTGCGGTTTGTGTGGTTCGGAGCTGGTCTTTGTAGTAGTCGAGTTCTCGGAGGATCATGTGGTGTTGTGTTTCCTTCTCAAGTAGTTTTTGCTGCGAAAAAAAATAAAAATAAAAAATCGGCAATCGGACGGTTGAGATCGATCCCGTTTTTAAATACCAAAACCCGGAACAATCAAACCAAACACCGGATGTATATTAATTACTCACTCTGATTATTTTTTGAAGTGTCGTTTAAGGTAAATGCACACCGGTTAATAAATGTTTTAAATAGTGAGAAAAAATTCCTTATTTGACCAATTGACTTTTCATCTTTTCTTTCTCATTTCATTAATCTAATAATGTGTTATTAAGGTTGGAAAAGTATAAGGATTAAATTACGAAAAAAACCCTTGAACGTTGAGTGAACTACAAAAAAAAACCAACTATTCTTAATTTCCAAAAAAAGAAAGAAAATATCACGTTTGTTTTTATTACGGTGTAAATTCTAACAGAATCTTTCATTCCAGGGAATATTCCTTTGTAAATGTCGATTTTACCCTCTATACACGTTTCATTTATTTATTCTACTATTTGAAGACAAAATTACCCTCAAGGGGTAAAGTGATAGTTAAAAAGAAACGGAGGGACTAGAAGGAAAATAAAAAAAAAATTACCTCTTCGGCTTTTGTCTTCTTTGTGATGGGCCTTGCTCTGGGGGAGATGACTTCGCCGAATAGACTGACGGCAGCTTTCACAGATTCGAAAGGTGCTCGCGTGTCGATTTCTCCGACGTCCAGTTTCGGAGATCCGGTGGTGGTGTTGCCTAACGGAGATTCAACAACCCTTGCCGCCGCCGTCGCCGGAGAATCGACGGAGCTTGGTGAGCCGACGACGGATTTCGGTGACCCTATCCCATTTTGCCACGTCCTTACGCTGAAACTAAACATCCTCGTACGTACTTTCACGTTTTCTCTACCAACTGCATATATACATATATAATATAATATATAATATAATATATTTATTTATTTATTATTTTTCACCAGAAAAGAAAAATTTAAAATTCAGAAAAAAACACACACACACACACAGAGGATGATGTAGTAAAAAAAAAAGTAAAAAAGGAATAATGATCGAAAAATGTAAGTGAAATCTGAATGGGGATTAAGATTAGGAATGAATTGATTGATGTGAGATGGTGGTGTTTTGTGGAAACCCGATTATTGTGGTGGAGTTTGCCACACTCCGAATTTTTAGTTCTTTCACTAATGTTAATTAATATTTAATACCCTTTTTTTGTCAATAAATTTATTTAATATATATATATATATATATATATATATATATATATATATACTTTCTATTTTCATGGCTTTTTCTTATACGTCCAATCACCAAATGTGTTGAACAAGAACAAGAAATTGAACCAGTAAAATAGGGTACGTAACAGTTCTGAACTGCAATAGAAGTTCGTCCAAGCTTCTCCTTCTTCTTCCTTGATCTTCCTATCTTTTCCATCGTTGATTTCTCTCGCAAGAATACAAAACGTTGTGACTTAGTGATTTCGAAGCAAATGGATACAAATATAAAGTTGTTGTTGTCCGAAAACATTTATCGGAACATGTTTTGGAAATTTGTTCTTTAATGAAAAAAAGTATCAAAACCTTGTGAGGTAAATAAATAAGTACCGCACACGTCTTTCGTTGCGCAGTAGTGTTTTTTTTAAGTGGTAAAGAAGTGTATTTATAATTTTGATATAAAGTGAGAGACATTCCAGATATTTCAGGGCAGATCGGGGGCTACCTGTAAGCGGAATTTAAAAGAGGGAGTGCAACGTGCAAAGTATAATAGTGTAGAATGACTAATATATGAAACTAGATAAATGGGATTTACGAGCCAAAACCTCTCGTATATACTTACTAATCTGCAATATATTAACCAACCAATCAGCAAATCGATCTATTCGATTCATAGCTTTACACAAGAATCAAGATTAGGAACTTACTCTTAACAAAATAGTGTACATTGCTACATCAACTGCAGCCAAACACAAAAGTCTAATGCTGTAACTTCTTCTAAGTTCTATGTTCTACAATATACAGCAGGTTAATAGAATACAAAATAACGAAACTCGTTTAAGGTCGGATAGTTCAGTAATTTTTTCCTGTCTCAAAAGTAAGCTATATATCATATTAATTAGGCTGCACTAATTTTGCACAATGCACAAAAACGAAAACCGCCCACTTGCAGCACCTGTGCAACTACTACTTCATTGGCCCCGTTTTTTCCCAGACCGCTGCTTCCACACACCCTGCATTTACCAAGAAAACAGACTTGATAATTATTTCCCATATATTACTATTTTAAGTGCAAATTCATTTTATTTTATTTTTTAATTTTTGTACCAAAGGCTCGTCATCAGAAAGCTCTGTATTTGCAGATTCAGAAGCAGAAGTTTTTGTGTCCTCTTCATCAGCAGATTCTTCCTTGGTCTCACTTAGCTGTTGCTTATCTGAAGAAGAAGAGGCTTCTTCATTATTTGATCCACGAGCAAAATGTGGAGAGCCGACAAAATCGTCACTCTCGGTATCTTCAGAATCTTTTTCTTCTTGCTTGGAAACTTCCGCATCACTCGAGCCCTTCTCCACATTTTCCTCGGTAGATAAACTCTTCTCGATTTTTTCACTTTCTTCCTTCTCTTCTGTTTTTTCCCAGAAATTACACAGCAAAAAAGTCAGCAGAAACAATACAAAATATAATACTTGATTTTAGATTATCTACAAGGCAAAATATGAACATTTTATTCACTTTAAAAGAAGTCCCAAAAAAGTGCACAGATTTTTCACCTGAGGTTAAATCATCAGCACCACTTTCCTCGGAGGATTCACTCTTTGACTTGTTTTTTGGCCTTCGTTTCGGATTTGTTACAGAGGATCTTTTCCTTTTTACTTGAGAAACAGACCTGACACTAGATTCAATTACATAAGCTACTTCCAAAAAAAAAAGAAAAAAAAAGCTTAATTTATAGAAATGCAAAAACCGGCTTACTTTTCTTTCGATTTTTTGCCTTGTTTTGGACCTCCACTCGATTTTCTTCCCTTGACAGAAGATCTGCGAGGCAATCAATAAGTAGACATTCAAGGAATTAGCCTAAACGGCAGAAATACAAGGAATGTAAAGTTATACATATATGTATATGCTTCTCTAATGGCTAGAGGCAAAGCTTTGAAAAGATTCAGTTCCTACACCATAACATTTTGTTGATATGTAATTATAAAGTTTGTCATATTATGAGATTGTGAGATGAGCAATTAAGTATGCAACCATACAAGTACACATTTATATGCAGGTTTAGCGAATGAGAACATACCCTCCTTTTGTCGAAAGGCCCTTTGATGAACCTGATTTCTGTCAATGGCAGATAAATTTTTGTTAGATCTCGAGCCGAAATTGTATGGTTAACAGGAACCAACAATTAAAAGCACTTCTGATAAGAGAAAAATAATTTAGTGAGTATTTAAACCTTGGGCTTCGGATCACTGTCGATAAGCTCCCAGCGCTCCTTATCTAATCGAATAACTTCCACCTCTCCATCGTCATATAGTACCTATGAAACAAGTAGATGAATAACAGAGGAAATCAAGAAAACTGGTTAATGCAAGGAATAAGGCACTCAAAATGCAGCATACCTTATGCTTCTTTTTCTCGTTATCATACGAATCCACAACACCTTCATAGTACCTGTATGCAGACAGAAGTTTGACTCAGATGAATATGGCTGTGTTTGAATTTAGTCAAGACAGTTTCTCACAGATCTTTTTTTTCTCAAAAGTTACAATCACGAAAGCACAATAACAAGCACTTACTGCTTATCCATGGGCCACCATACTTTTATTCTGCAACCAATTAAGTTGTCTTTGGAACTTCCTTTGTCCTTGGTTGTGCACTAATGAAAAAGAAAAAGTAGAAACAAGTTTAAGATTTAGCAATACAGAAGTTTGAGAACCTCCGATTAAGATGTGGAGAGAAAAAAGGATAAAAATAACAAAATCTGAGCAATTAAATTTGCAAGAACTAATACATGTAGCAGAAGCTTCGCAGATTTATTGAATGCATCATTTTTTATAAATTTAGTGCCAGGTAATGAAACCTCAAGATTGGACTCTATATAAGGACTGTTAAAGAGACTGGCGTGAACCACAAGACAGTTCGATGCTCCAAATTAGAAAGTTTACCATTGTTTTGACGTCATAAAGCAATTACTAAAAATGCTACTTCAGTGTACAAACATGGGTAAAACAATATTAGTAGAATTTGAATTTGCAACTTAGAATGTTTGCAATCATAATCTAAAAAATTCAAGACATCGGAGATTATATTACCTTCGCTAATGCAGCGACACTTTTCGGTGTTTGCTTCTTCATAGATCCCGACTTGGAATAACTAACTGAGCATGTGCTATCAGTATTCGGGACTTTCTTAGGCTTCTATACATTATAAGGTAACCATTACATCAATAATCATGAAAAATATTGAATGTTTTACGTAAATTCCATTGGTTAAGAGCATACCTTAGCTTCGGGGGAGTTATTAACAGCCTCACCATGATCTCTATTAGGACGTTTGCGTTTCTGCTTAGAGGAAGTACCGGATTTCTTCCTAATACGTGAAGAAGATAGAAATTTGAACTCAGTTTTTTCTTGCACATCTTCATCTTCCGAATCAGATTTCGGCTCCTTGTCCATTTTATCAGATTTCGGCTCCTTGTCCATTTTATCAGATTTAATATTACTATTCTCCTGATTTACAACATTAGCAGGTTTTTTAGAATCCTTCAAATCAACTGTTAGGACAGGCTTGCGAGCTTGACCAGATGATGATCTCCTACGTTTTGGCACGGGAATGTCACTTGCTTCACTAAAAAACGATTTCCTCTTCTGAGGTTCATTGTCGCTCCTCTTTTTGCGAGCATATTGATGACCGTTGCTCGACTCAAACTTGCTAGTTGTATCCATATTATCAGAATTTATTTCCTTCACCATTTTCAAGATATCGAAATCACTTCCATTTTCTGCACTACCTTGTGCGGGCCCATTCTTATCCTCTTTTTTGGCCTTTGCTGCCTTCGCTTTAAGAAGTTTCATCAACTTTCCCAGTGGCATCTCACTGCCCTCAGTTTCACTGTCCTTGATGAGATCATCCTCTGATATTATTGAATGAGCCTGAAGTTGATAAAGTACCATAAAATTAAATTTCCTTGCCTAAAATTACCATAAAATTAAGTTGATAAAAGTACCATAAAATTAAACCTCCTTATGTGTCGAATAATTTTCAAGCCTTACAATTTTATTAGCTTCAAGTTCAAGTGATTCGAAGTGGGCCAAGACACCCTCATCAGCCAGCCATGTCTTTTCTTCACCAACCTAGTTTCAAAAGAAGGTTTGCAATAAGTTAGATATACATATGTGCACCTACATCACACTTCTGAGAAATGAGAAAATCGTCTCAAAGAATGAAATCGTAAAAGAACCACGATTATCACAGGATTTTATGTAAATCAAACTGACGATGACATGTTAAATTACTTATATTTTATGGCAGTAAACTTTCTATGCAAATACTTGGTACAGTACAGGCTCTAGATTTAGAGCTTTGGCTTTCTTCGTGGACACTTAATCAAAGTGCACATACATCAACTCATAAATATGGAATATCATAAAAAACCATCTGGCAGCCATTAACTACAACATAGAGAGAATCACGAAGATGCATATTTATTTGAAATTGACTTGTTCTGGAAACGGATGGGGGGTTGATTAGAGAAGCATTCTTCTATTGAAGTATTATCTCATTAGTACAGATAAGAAGATTCACAAAGGGAGTTTGATCATAATACCAGTGAGTCATTTTCGTCTTTCTTCTCAAGTGGTTTGTAGAACACCGGAGGTAGGGTTACAGAGGAACTTGAGTCATGAATTTCGTCTTTGTTCGGAGCTAACCGCTTAATAATTGGCAAACCAAGGTCGCACAGAGCGTACAAGTTCTGTAACATTAATATATGGCATTAAAACAAAACTCGTCAACATTCTAACTGTAGCATTATACATTATCTGCAATTAATATCTGATAATTTCTCCACGTGTTTTCTGTGGATGGAAAGATGTTCTGTCTTCTATAACGTTTCGATAAAACAATAGCTGTACAGGATATAAAAAAAATGGATACAACTAATGGTGTTTAATAACAAACCTTGGACTTAGCTACGTCAAAAGCATCTTCTGAGCGCTTGATATGTCGAAATATGGAATTCAACATCGAGATCCTCTCCTTGTCCTTGCTAATGTTGACATCATTTTTGCCATCAGCTTCTTCATACACAAGCATAGACAGGAACAAATGCAACTGCCTGAAACAGATACATATACATCTTGTCATTGTGAGAAAATCTATAGGGACCAACAGTTTTTGCCAGGAATTTATGTCTACGTACAATATCTGTTTTATGACCGTACTTGATTTAGTAAACTGGCTCATGCAAAAAAAAAGTTAAAGAAGTTTTCGTAACCTTAGAAGCCATTAAGAACTGTAATGACCAACTATGTTCTAATTAGCCAATAATTAGTATCTTCCATCAAAATGCATACAATTGGCACTTATTACCGGTTTATGAGTTATGGCATACGAATAACATGATTGCACGAACATGAATACTTGTTACTTTATGCGCTAATTACACCTTAACGTGCTCTATAAATGCTTTTTTGCAGTGAAAAGATCAACTTCTCGATTGAGTGAATAGATGTGCTAAACGGTTACAAAATGGACTAATTATGTTCTTACAAAAGGGAATAGATATACTAGTTGCATTCCAAATTCTAAAAAGGACGAACTCCCTAGATGGTTGATTGATATTTTGGGTATTCGGCTAAAAACAAAAGTTTGCAAAATGGTGCAATTTGATTGGTGGATTATTTGCACCAAATCACTCTAAGATTCCACTTAATTTAATGCATAAGCATCGTTCCTGTCATCTCCTAGCTTATGAATGTTACTATGCCGAATTACAACACCACAATTAATGCAACCAATCACAATCCTCCACTTACCTTTCTTCGAAATGGGTAGATAAGTGAAGACGTGATTTAATATGAAGAATTTGGCCACGTGTTATTATAAACAGGCCATAGAAAATTATTTAGACGACCCATAGTCTAAATATCATCCTGATTTTTACAAGTTAAATGGAGTCTAAATAACATCATATATTTTGGGAAATATTATTCAGATAAGGTAATTCATAAGTTGTTTATGCAGGAGATGAGTATGATCCTAACACTAAATGAATAAAACTTAATAGCCAAGATGAAATTTCAAGCATCGAGCCTATGCTCATAAACCCCATATTAGCCCTCTCACGCATTTCCACTTTTTAATTACTTTTTTCTTTCTTTGGAAGCCCCTACAGATTATAAATGCACAAATCCAACCAGACACGAAGACCACATAATATTAAGCACGACAAGCAAAAGCAGGCACACACCTATACGAAGTGCGGGTTACATTCAATGTAAAAGCTTTGCATAAATATATTTCACACGTGGCATTACGGATATAGCTGCATCATTAATTAGACAATAATCATTGCTGAAGTAAGTTTCAGTCGTTTCTTATTGCGGATATATTTCTTGTTTGGGCCCTAGTGAATTTTTTTTTTTTAAATTCAATATTCTACCAAATACCAATAGCATTACTTAGTAAATCTTACTTCCTCTCATCCTTCTCGGAATATTCTACCAATAGCATTACTTAGTAAATCTTACTTCCTCTCACCCTTCTCGGGCAGGAAGAGAATTTAACATATCTCAAATCGAGTTAGCAAATTGACTTTAAATTCTAGTAGACTCTTCCACAAAATTAGATCTTATTGAACTCGATCTTCTACAATTTCTATCAATCAATCATTATCAAGTATCAGCTACAGGATATGTTACACCATTCCATGTTTTGTAGTTTCATGATTAACTGATTGCATTTACTTTGATGTATTTATCCTCTACTCTTTTAGACAGTGTGTCACGTAAAATATGGGAAAATATTGTTTACAGCTAACAAATTATATGAAAGGAAATTATATCAATTTTAGCATGGCAATTATAACTTTCCAATTAAAAAAAAATGCCACTATGGGTATATTGAAAAACTTAAACTCCCTAAGATTATTCCTATATGGTATAAAGTAGCGTAATGTATCCGAAAAAATAATCTCCAACTGAAAAGAAAATGCACATAAAATTCACTTTAACCGAAATATCTGATAAAGTAAGGCGGGGGTTGGGGTGGGGGTGGGGGTGGTCCAGAATTACTGCTATGCTAAGAGTCTGAGTGAGTACAATAGAGTAAGTCTTCAAACAAATTATTACAAACTGGTCGTTATTTATTGAATCTTTATTAGTTTCATTTGAACTCAGACTATCATTAAAACTTGTAAATGTCAATTCATAGTACCTGTACATGGGTTCAAATTTTTTGACATCTTTGCATTCATCAATATTAGGAAATGAAGGATGGTGAGCAAGTGAATGGACGACGTATGGGAGAATGTTTTCCGCGTAAAGGTGTGGAGAGTTTGCATCACTCTGCGGAGAAATTTGACGGCCCCTCCCTTGCCGACACATCTGGATGATGTCATTCAGATACCGTTTACTCTGCCAAACATTTTGGTGAATAAGTAGATACAAGAATATTCCCCGTGTTAGTCTGGGACAAGTACACCCCAAAAGCAAAAGATAGAACACAATAAACACTGAGCAGCATATACCTCTTCTGAGTCTGACTGTGAAGCTGAAATATCAAGAAGGAAGGCACATGCATACTTGGGGGCTAAAATCCTGTCCCTTACATATTGATGAACCTTGTTCAGGAGTAGTTTCTTTACCTCAGGGAATTTATCCTACAAATTCAAGGGCAATGGAGTACGAAATAGATATTGTTCTGTTATTAAACTGATAGACATTAGGAAATTTATCTCACAAACAACCATGCACTCCTGTCAATTAAACTCTACCTCTGAAGTTCTCAATGTGAGGTAAAGCACATCAAGAGGAATTTTGTGTTCCCACTGCTTCGAGAGGCGGATAACAGCTTTTGCTGCAGCAAGTTTCAAATGAGCCCTGTCTACCAAACTGAAACATGGAAAAGGAAACCGTAAAATATTAAGCAATACTCGGGAAAGAAAATGAAAGATTAATATCGACAACCTCTTCACAAAAACTTCAGGGGACAATACTGTCTTAATTACCTTGATTCAATCCCTCTTGCGATATCACCGAACAAGAGTATCTTCTTTAGGATTTCAATTATGCCGTCAATTCCATGACGAAGGTGTGCATCTTTGACAGGTAAATAGCTCTTGACCAAAGCTTTAACCCCAAAAATCTGCAGAAATTTAAATGCTTAGTGCATAAAGCATCTCAAGAAAATGATTATTTTTTTAGTGATCAAGGACGAGAATTATGCCAGTTAAGGACCTTTAAAGAACAAAGTTCACTTCTATCATCCCAACCAGCAGTTGTTTTGTCTCCTGTAATCTGTTAGGGAAGCATGTTTATTAAAACTCTGTAATAAGAAAACAAGATATGGATCAAAAGAATATTTGCATTTCTGAAGGCGTACATGTTCAAACTCCAGTATGTTTTTCTTAATGAACTTTTCAATCTCATCTTCTCTAGTTTCAAAGATTGGCATAGCAGCTTGTGCTATGCATCCAAGAGACTGCAGTACAGCTGGCAAATGGGACTTCTCTTCAAGCATATCCACTAGCCTCTATAAATTAAGAACAAAATATAGAATACTGAATCGTCAAATTCGTACAAACAGAAAGCAAAAATATAAATAAACTACAGAAAGCATAGAGAATATGAACAAAACAGGATACGGTTTAAAAAAACAAAATCAAGAATTAACCTTGTAAAGAACAGAGAGGGACATAAGACCATCATCCTTTGTAATGGATGCCAGGGCATGAACAGCGTACTTAGCCTGCCTTCTGCTACCCTCGATGCATATGCGCTCCAGAATAAGGTCTAATGATCTACAAGCAAAAAGGATCACATTAAAGCGAAAATCGACTCGAACAAAAAACAAAAAAATTGAAGGGATGTTTGTTGATTATCTAACCTTGACGAAACACCCAACTGTTCTCGGATAGTTCCTCCAGCCTTCGCAAGAATATGCAAAATGCCTTCCTTTATTATTTCATTATCATCCTCCAGAAGATGTAACAAATCATCTTCAATTCCACCCAGCAGCAGAGGACAAAAGCTTGCAAGAATCTGACATTCATTTCATAACAAATGAAAAATGAATCCCAGAATTTCAGGTCACGGAGAATAAATCCAGTAAATTTTCTTCAAGTTCACAACTTTTCCGAGATTATTCTATGGAAATAAAAGAGACTGGGCATGACAGTCAGGCCCAATTGTTTCATTGACAGAATAAATAATCATAGGACAGAATTATGTTTCTCAAATTCATATACAAATAAAATTGATAAACCATCTTAATTCAGATGGTTTTTCATTTCAATGCACATCATGCACCAATAAAAACTTAGGTTTAGTCAATCATGGCTTCATAATGATGATTCAAGTTAAGAAAATATATGTACATATGATCTTTGAGTCCACTACAAAATAGTCTAACAGCTGTCAAGAGAATATAAAGTCAAGATATCTTAATACGAGTAGTCAACTAGTCATCAATATATTTATACAGAATAAATATAAAAGTAAAGGCCATACCACAAGAACAGTCATGCAGGACAAAACTAACTCAGTTGTTCCAGTGGATTTTTGTTCACTAGCCTCCAAAAGGATTTCTCGGACATGATCCTTGTCAAAAAGTAAAAAAGAGCATTTTACAGAAAGAGTGCTCAGAAACTCATAAAGTTGATGCTTCTGACCAAGGATCTTAAGCAAATCATCCTGCACGTGGTTAACATAATCTGAGTATCACTCATACGATTTTATGAGCATTTTTAAGCTACATTCAAAGAAATGGAAACAAGGTAAAAGGGACAAGCAACCTAAGTCAATTTAATGCCTCACCCGTAAACTACTCGCTTTTAGAGAGTTTGTGCTTGGATCGAGAAGTTCCATCAAAATTTTCCAGATATTGGAATCTTTTAACTGGTCAAAACTCTTAAAGTTCTCCTCCGTCTTCACAGGATCACTAAAACAGCAAGCCACAACACGGAAGCAAACAGTTACCTTCTTTTGGATCTCAGTCTCATCAACCTCCTGCACATGGACAAAGACCTTATATTTTCATCAAATGCTCCACCGTAACACTTTCAGTAACCAAATATTAAGAAATTTATAGCTTCTTGTAGTGAACCTGAGGCAACTGTCTAAGGGAAAGATACTTCTGCATCTCTTTTTGTAACCTACACCAGAATAGTAATTAGTAAACATGAAATGTAGTTCTATCATGCAATTTAAAGCAATCTAACATTGATCAAGAAAAATACTAAGACTTCGAACTAAAACTCCTTACAAACCTTTGCTTCTGCTCTAGTATCTTCTCAAGAGCCTTAACCTCAACTTTTTCAAACCCGGAGAAGATCCTAACCCAACTTGTCACCTTATCTTTGGTAGAAAAATCAGCTGGGAACAATGATAGAGATAGGATAGGTTCTATTGCATCGGATCTGCAGAAACAAAGATCCCAACTTGACATGAGAAATCATAATTGACGTAAAGCATCTTAGGCGACAATCATTTTGTAGCCAATGCTGTGACTTCTTTTTTTGTAGCTTTTCAGATACCAATTTTTTTAGAACAATTAGCTTTTGACAAGATCGGCCTCAATTTGGAGTAAGTTATCATATTAGTTGTTTGTTTGAAAATATTTATTTGGATTCCCCATATCCAGCCAGGACCAATTAACAAAATCTACTGAAACTATATATTTTATTTATATTACCTGAAATCTTTATCGTAAAAGCATCTCAAGATCTTCCCAACTATCCAATCATAACCATCATCCTTTGTTGAACCACTGGATTGCTTCATGCATGATATTCTGTATATGTCAGCTAACCTCTCCATAGTATACCTTTTAACTAGAAGCTGCATGTTTGAAGAAAGAGTTATCAGAACATGAGCAAGGCACATTACAAAATGAACAATGAAAAAGAGATACAGATAGAGATAGGTAAATATACAGATTTGTCTCGAAGGCGTTCTGAGATCAGCTTGATAGTTTCAACTGGAATGGATGTCAGGGAATCACATGCCACATCAGAAACCACAGAAACAACTTGTTTACGAACATTTTCATCAGAGTCCAATAGCTGGTCGCAAAGAGCAGCTGAAAATTTATTCGCAAATCAGATTAAAGACCTCAGTTAAGTTTGGTCATTGGATCATCAGTACTAGAATTCCTTACAGATTATTTGATGAGCTTCGGCCCTGAGAGGATTCTCCAGAAGACAACTCTTGATGTACTCAAGGACAGACATTCTGACCTCCACTGCTTTATCAGTCAGCCTTTTCAGAAACTCCAGAAAGACTGGCTTGAATGCTTCAGAAATAACAGATCCCGGCAGAGCAAAGAGGCGGCCTACTAAACTCACCGCTTTCAGACGAATGTCCAATTGACCACTCTGTGTAAGTCAAATTTTGAAAGTCATTTTATCGACAATTTGTCAAAAATCAAAATTACCAACTTGACCACAAAAAGTAGAGAATATGCAGATGTTGAACAGCTCTCAAACAACTTAAAGTGGATTCTCAATCGCAACCCTCAAAAGAATGAATTTTCTAGAATATGATTGAAGGGCATTGTGTCATCGTAACCAAAAGAAAAGGCATACTTGAAATGCATATTAGTCATCACAACCTAGAGCATCTTTATCACACAGAAGAAGATATACATAAAAGCATCTGAGATGATTACCAGTAGCTCTCCGGTAAGATAAGGGACAACTCCTGATAAGATTTGAGGAGCAGAGCGATAGACATCATAAAGTACTGCATGCCAATTAATCCCACTGTTCAAGGATTCGCTGTCTCCTGACATTGACATTACAAGAAGCTGCTTTAAGCCAGTTTCCAGTTTTGCAGCACTGTTCTCTATCACATTCACAGCAATTTTCCTTGCAGCCGTAGTAACATCCTAGCAGCATAATCCAAATTTTAAAATTCTTTATGAGAGAAAGACACTTGGACCAATAAACACCACACAGGAAAGAAAAAAGATGCTTACATCCTTATCGCGGCTGAAAATAGACAATAAAATAAGCAAAAGGCTCTCTGGTACATCCTCACTTTCTTCCAAGAGAACCTCCATTATGGTTTGCATTGAAGTCAAGACATTCTGAGGATGCTCATCTCTGCATGTCAAGCAAATACAGGTAACAAAGTGAACAAAGTAGAGCATACAAAAGCATCCAGATCAATTATTGAGTAGAGGTACTCTCCTTTCTGCGGAAAATTACCCTATGCTTCATAATTTTACCCTCTTGAAAGGATTCAAATAATAGTTCGATTATAAAAACATAGAGATTGAAAACTCTGATTCTGACTTAGATATTCTTTTGCTTACTTAGTAGATTCCTATATGACTCAGATGGATAAGAACGGAGGGGACGTGATGCTTCCACTTTTACATGTCCCGGTAAACTTTGCTTGATAAGGGAACCACTTAATTCTTGAACCCCCCACCCCCAACAACCAAAAAAGAGTAAAATGCCATGTCCCAAGGACAATTTGCCCAAACAGAATATCCAAGATAATATAGGTTATTTAATGAAGCAGAGGAAACTGAACATACCCAATCAGATGTGCTAGTAACTAATAATTTTATAAATCATAACAAAACATAAGCACCAGCTTTTCTCATCAGTCCACCATCAATTTGTACACAAAAAAGTAAAAGAGAAGCTGAGATATTCACAAGGAGAAAAACGAAACAATCTTGACGTAGACTTAGGATTATTCAACATAGGGAAAGGCAAAGAGGAAAATCGACAGACTTATCAAAACCCTGAAGAAATCCTTAGCCTACAAATTAAAATAGAATCAAAGCATATGTATCTACATGGGGAACAATGAAAATTGACAAGCAAACTAGTGGCGGTAGCACTTCATCTATGGGGAAAATATGAAGAACCTAAACGACTAAGACATAGTTCCCCTTGAAAAGTTAAGAGTAAAGAAAAGTGAAGTATGCCAGAACAGAATAATAAACTTGTTTCACGAATAATCAGAGAGAGCTCAAAATCAAAAGAGCCGTACCTGGCAACAACAAAAAAGGTATTGAACATTTCATTTATGAGATCATCACAATCAAGATCCAGCATCACCACGCATGATCTGTATGTTGCCAAGGTATCAAGAATAACAACCCTTCTTCCAAATGATGGGTCTTTTATATCGCTTAAGCCACTGAAAGTACTCACAATCAACTGGAAGACATCCTGGAATAAATTAAACGGTAAAAATCAGAAAACAGGTGATAGATATTTGTGGTGAAAACAAAGCCACGCTTTCAACATGTATTATCAACTAGTGATGCATTCTTAAGAATAAAGAAGTACCTTTAAGATATGGTCATCATAAGGAGCTTCGGGTGCAGTAATTCGAGTTATTTCACATATACAGGAAGCTAAATAAAGCTTGACCTCCGGTTCTTGAATTTTCAGCAGTTCCGGCTTGACAATGGCATTTAAGAAAGGCTCTGTGGACTTCACCACTGATTCTAGAGGTGACTGGTCTAATTCAGAGAGAAGTGATGCACTTTGCTGCATGACGAAGAACCATTGTAATTACTATGAACAATCAACATGTATAGTTAAGATTAAAAGTCCAATATCTTTTGGCAAGAATGTATATCCTAAATATTATCTTTGGATAATACGTAAGCAGCATAATTTCTCTGAACAGTAAGTCACATAGTAAGGATCTGAGGAACGCCCGCTCCCCCACCAAGATAGGTACAGCCCTTGGGCCTCAAAATATTGAGCAGAGCACATATAGATGGATAAGTATTAATTTCAGGATAAAATAAAGGATAACTTTCTTGATTGCGGATGAAAACAATAAAACAACTGCAGAACCAAATAGCTTATTTACATCTATTAAATTAGATAGTTCAAAAAAGAGCACTGCTGATAAATCTTTCTCCTACCAAAAAACTAACATAAAATAAAACTAATAGATAGTTCAAAAAAGAGCACTGCTGATAAATCTTTCTCCTACCAAAAAACTAACATAAAATAAAACTTTGGGCTGTTTGCTTCGATGGAATTGAAGTTATATGGAAGGACTCAAACTTTCTGCTTCTTCTTTTTCAAAACAAATCAAATCCAATGCAACCAATACAGGTAAATATCTGTTTTTCTCCCCCACCACCACCCCCTCCCCACCCACACCCCACCACCACCACACAAAAAAAACAAAAAACAACCTGATGAATGAGCCCCAATTACTAAAGAGCCACAATTTATGCAATGCAGACGCATGCTTTGTAAATTGAACTCCTGTAGACCTAAAAAATTCAACATCGGAACTTAACTAGCATCTAAAAATAATTCCATAAAAAAACTCCGATTTTCTGCTTAGTTACAGGAAACAGCACCTTGAGCGAACCCTAATTCAGAAACCAATTACCAGGACCGGCATAAGTTTAGCAATTATTCACAAGCACGTAAACCCCAATTCCAACGAAAACATAAAATCAATTAATTATCACTTTAAAAAAATCACCTTCCTATCGAAATTCAATACATACAATATTGTGCAATAAAAACACGAAATCACACCTTCAACAGCTTTACGAGAGCTTTTTCCGAAGCCGGCGGACTCTCCAACTTCGATCCCAGCTCTTTCAGCTGCTGGTGCACCCTTTCAGCCATGGAATAACTACAAAACAATTCGCCGGAATCCTTTATCGCCGCCTTCAATGTGGAGGGGGTTTCCACACACACATTCACTGCGTTTTTTCCTCCACGTGTTTCTTCTCCGGATGTGTGTGAGAATTTAGGGATTGTGAATTTTATTTTTTTTCGCCTTTGGTTATTTCGAACAACAAAGCAAAAATAGCTCCGTTTCAAAAAATAAAACTAAAAATAAAGAAAACTAAGCGCTCGTTGGGACTCTACCACTGCAGATTTCTTACTATTTGGGGTCGCGAATTTTTGCAATGTGGCCACTCTAGTTTTTGGTATTTACATTTCGACCCCTACTAGTTTTGCTTTTTTGACAAATGTTGATTTACTTGCATGTTAGTATCGAATTTAGTTGGGAGGATAATAATAAATAAGATTCTGTGAAATTTATTATACTTTTGCCTTTTTATGATTTTAATTTATTTAAAATTGTCCATTATTGTCGTTTAATGGAGAAATTATGAATATGTGTTTGTAAGATGTTTTACAAACTCAACATGAATTTTAATACTTATGTGTATTTAATCTTATTGATTACAAATTTTTACATTGACTATATAAAATCTCACAAAATAAATACTTAAGTTGTTTTAATGTTTAAGTATATTAAATCTTGTCTGAAATTTATTAAAATATAGGGTAAATTACGGTCACCCATCTGAGATAAAGTTAAATTATTAAAAAAAACCACCATGTTTGGATAATTACAATAATCCCTTCAATTATAAATTTCTTACATGTTCATTCTTATAATGTCAAATTTAACAGAATCTTCTAGATTCCATCAAATGATCTATAGTTTATACTCGTTTGGTGCAAAATAATAGAATATGATGCACCACAATCTGATAATTACAAGTCAAAAGACACGTCTCATGGTCATCTTGTTTCCAATGGGTAAAACGATTACAAAATAGAGAATATCCCACATAATTTAAAAAAATTTATATATGAGGATTTTTTTGATAATTTGACATTGTCTATATATTAGGGGTTTACAAAATACTTATATTTTTTGTTGAAATTAGGTGACACTTTTAATTTTTAGGGTAAATTACACCCACGCCCCTGAGGTATACTTAAATAACTTTAAGGTTCCTGTGTTATCGATAATTACACTCACCCCCTTGAAACGTAGTTATAAACTCTAATGGTATAATGCATTGGATACGTTACTACGATAGAGTTCTAACGGACTATTGGTTTCAGGAAGTGGTGGAGACAACAAAGATTTATGGGTGATTTAAGAAATATTGGGGGAGCCATGTCACCCCATAACTCCCCATAACTCTATGTTATCTCCACCACTAGCTAAAAGTAATAGTCCATTACAACCCTATCGGAAAAATGTATCCAATATATTATCCCGTTTGAGTTTCTAACTACGTTTCAGGGGGCTGAGTGTAATTATCGATATCACAGGGACCTTAAAGTTATTTAAGCATACCTCATGGGTGTGGGTGTAATTTACCCTAATTTTTATGTTTTTGTAGTTAATTTGTCACAACTTAAAGAAATGCAGTTTGATGATAACTAGTACTTGTTCCTTATGTCTGAATTTTCACTCTCATTTATGATAGATGATATATATATTTATTTAATAGTTATAACTAACTTTATATACACGTGTATAGTACGATATAACCCGATGAAATCCACCGAATATACCAAAGGCAAACCCTGCAGCACCTGTACAAAGCTTATTTCTGATTTAAAGTTATAAAATATCTTCACATAGAAATTAATCCAACAGTTGGTTGGCCAATAGGATTTTTTCTTTCATTGGCCAAGGCAACTACTTAAGAAACTAATATAAACTGTATAAAACTAATTTCTGCAAATATGATCACCCAAAGAAATAGGAAACAGTAAAATAAGGAATCGACAACGTTGAAAGTTCTTCTATGCACCGTCCGGTTGGACAAATGGATTCTCAATCTCGTCGGTTCCATCGGTGGGGGAAACGAGCATCACAGCAGTCCCCCGACAAACCTGCAGTAGAAAAATCACACCATATTTAGAGAGTAATAAATATTAACATTCGAACTTTACATAAAGATTTGTTAATTTCGAGCAGTGTAGATTTTCTTTTTTTTAGTTAAAAGTGGACAGAATGACAATAATACCCATGTCAATAACGAGTACAATTTTTTTTTCTAAAAAGATTCACAAACTTGAATCAAACACGAGAGGCTCTTGAAAATGTGCGACAAGGATTTCCAAAAATACCCTTCCAAAATCCAACATGTGAATGGTACGATATAGCTGGCAGTGTAGATTGACAATCGAATCTGATAATGAATTTAGGGTTAATTACAAACAAACCCTAAGGTATCCATGCCTACATTACGAAAGCCCCCTTTTGGTTTGCGAAATTACAATTACACCCCTGAGGCATACGACCTTCGTAATCTTTTAGATTCTAGGAATATTCGTTCAAATTCAACTTCCAGCAAGAAGATTCTAAGAATATTCCTTCAATTCTAAGTTAAATTAGGACTTTTGACTTCCAGCAAGACAACCATATCATATTTAACCCAACTCTTCATTGGATTGTGTAAAAGCAACTGTGTTGATTAATTAAGTCATGTCAAATACATTCAATACATACGACATATATTATACATATGCATTAAATGTTGTACAGAGAGTTAGAACATACGATTAAGCCAAGGTGTCGGGTCTGGTCGGTAGTTTTCAGTGGGTCGTCTGGATCTGCAACCATAATGAATATACGTAAGAAAGTGTATGGACATTGATACTACGATATCCTAAAAGTGACGACAGTTAGTATATGATAATCCTAAGATTATTACCTCTGAGAAACTCGATTGCTTTGTCCAAAACAAGATTCAGCAACTGGTCATATCCTTTTAGAATCCCAGACACTGGAAGAAACATAAGTAGTTACTTCTTTATGGTAAACCCAAAAAATGACCAATTGATTTAACGGCGGGATGCTGATTAGTCATTATTAAAAGTAGCTTCAAAATTATCTGATCAATTGCTTTAATACGTTGGTCCAACAATGACAGAATGATGCTAAATTCTTACATAAGTGAAATGAGAAATCACATAGTTACACTTGCAGTTCGGTGCAAATCGACCCGAATTTTCAGTTAATAGAATTTTTTCTGGTACATCATAAAAGATATTATGATAAAACTTTCTGGCTCACTTTTAATTGGATCTAGTCCTTTCAAGGAAGCAAGTTTGTCAAACAATATAATGAGACGAAAATCTGTGCATGCAAACACATACCTACTACCAAGTCTCAGAGATCGATAAATCAAAGCAAAGCAAAGACCACAAAACAGACCGATGCTCCATACAAGTACAAATACGATATTTTCGAAAAATGACTTTGCACTGAGAAAATATTTTTTACAATCGTTTAAACGTAAGAAGCTTCCATATTCCGAAAGCCACCTCAGTCGATGAAATCTTATGGAGATTCGATGTGCCAATTTTCAACTAATGTCACGAAAACCATTTAAGAAAATATTCATAGAGCACGCAGAACTTCACTGAGCCATTTCACAGCTGGAAAATAAATCGATTAAATAAACAGCCAAAAACTTCAAATAGGCAAAACATTTACCTTGTCTTCCACCGGTGAGCTTGACTTGGACACCCTTGTCGACAAACTTCGCCAAATCTAAAACCGTTTCTTTTCGGCCAGACTGATAAAAAAAAATCTGAATATTAGCATAACTATAAAATCCATATTTCTAAATAATTTACAGCAATGTATGTTTGTACAGATCAAGAACCAACAATCATGTGTTCATTTAGGTTACAATACCATCTCAGAGAAAAATAGGTTGTCTTCAAAACTTGTTAAACAGCAGCAGCTCTGTTCGGCGAAAAATACGTAACCTGAAAATCGGAAGCCGCACAAAAAATAAATGAGATTAAAATTAATTTAATATCTGCTCTGTAATTTTGTTCCAACAATCCGTTAAGAGAAGCGATTCACGAACTTTTAGAGCGAGAAACTTGTAATTCAGCTGAAATTGCAATCACAAATTCCACACACTCCAAATCTATAAAAACACCAAATAAAATTCGAGAATAAACAGCGAAAATAGAACGAATTCGGGGAAGAATAAAATCGACGAATCAACGCCCGTAATAATAACCTAAAGTTCATGTAAACATATTACAGAACATGTATAAAATGGGGAGGAGAAATTGAAGTATCTAACCACTCGTAAATATGGCAGTTCAGGTAGTGGCGGACAGCATGTGCGGCCGCGGTGCTGCGGAGGTGGGGTTAGCGGCACCGCCGTCTAATTTTATACTCCGGCTGAAAAGTTAACGGCTCGATGATTATCGTTTATATATATGACGGGCCCTATAAATGACGGGCCCTAATTATGCAAATACATTATATAACTTCCAAGGTTCGGGCCGGGCCTACTACGAGTTCGAATTATTTATTTTATGCAACATTTATTCCCTTCTAGTATTATTTGTAAACTATAAAAATGGAACCTATCTATATAACCGATACATTCCATTCTTAAATATGAAAATAATAAAAATGTGATTTTATTGTTAGATTTATTTCGAACAACTATCCCCTTCAACTAGGGGTGGGAACGAGCCGAGCTCGAGCCGAGCTCGAGCTCGAGTCCATGTTCCCGAGCTCGAGCTCGAGCTCGAGCTCATCGAGCCATTTTTTTTTGGCTCGAGCTCGAGCTCGAGCCAATTTTGGCGAGCTCGAGCTCGAGCTCGAGCTCAGGCTTATTAAATTTTTTTTATTTTATTTTATTTTTATTTTTATTTTTTATTATTATTTAATTTTTTTATTAACTTTTTTTTTATTAGAAATTATTCATAGGAAAATAAAAAAAATTATAAAATAAATAATGAACTCTAGGTATATATATTTTTTATTTTTTCTATTATTATTATTATTATTATATTTTATATAATTATGAATTATTTAAGTAATATAGATTTGTTTCTATTTAAATACTAGTTATATTTATTATTATAGATTATTTACTATTTAGTTAATAATAGTACCAATGATAGTAATAATAATAATAATAATAATAATAATAATAATAATAATAAGAATAAGA